CCTTGCAATGAAGAGGTATTGTCGTATATATATAATTATGAAGCCATCAGAAAGGCTGTGATGCTTGAGAAGAAAGTAAGAAAAGAGAGGGAGAGGAGGGGGTTTATATAGGCAAGGGGGGGTGTACACACCTGATTTCACGGGAAGCGTGACGCAAGTCTGTGACTGATCACACGTCTGTATACGTGTGAACACCTTAAATATTCGCCATGAATGCCAGTGAGACATGCTCGGACGCTGGAAAGTGAGGGAAGTGTGAATCGGTATCGTGAGTGACTCGTGTGATGAAGTCTCACACGCTTCACACTCAGGTGAATCTGAAAAGTGTCTCTCATGATGTCTCAGGTGATTGCAAAGAAAACAAACCTCGATGATGTCTCAGCAGGCGTCAGTGTGAAGATTCTGCTTGTGAAGGGAGCGGCGTGGAAGAGTCACCGTCAGGTGTGCCCTCACTAGCGCGAGATATGAAGCTTAAGCGAGATTTGCAGCTTGACGCGTATGCGGTATCAGTGATAGTTTACGAATTATGACTATACGAGTTGCTATACACAGTCCTAATCATTCATCACACCTTGACTGTCTCGATTTATACTTGAACTACTGGTATCCTTATTCCAAACCACCTGTCAAACCCTCAGTAGGATCCTCCCCTCCCTCCTCAACCCTCGTCAATCCACAATTCTTCCTCAAACCATCCACACACCTACTCACACCCCTCAGCAACACTGACCTCCTGACACCCCTGGGCTCCCAACTCCCAATGGTCACACAGCGTGTCACACTTCACACCGGGGGCGACAAAGACCCTGCCCTCCTGATAGGGCGTCGTGAGGCGCCACTGCACGCCGCGATCACTAGGCGGAGCGGCCGTATTGGCGCGGTAGCCTGCGCGGCAGGCACAATATGTGTAGGTGCTGACCAGGGAGCATGAGGTCGTCTGATCGCAGATATTGTTTAGGGGTTGGGGGAGCATGTGCTGCAGGTGTCACGGGCGGTGAGGGGGCTGGTGAGGGCGAAAGGAAGGAGAAGGAGGGAGGAGAGGGTTAAAGCAGTAGGGAAGTACATGATTGCTGTAGGGTTGGGAGATGGTAGGTACTTTTGTTGGTGAGGCTTAATGGAGGTGGATGGCTTGACTAGTGGTTGGGATAGAACTTGGAGTGGATAGCTCGATAGAAAGGTTGATGTGAGATAGATGCTGATGGGAAAGATCAGTCAAATACTTAACATGATATCAAACTTGTTTTACGAGGTGCCCTCCTAATGATCTTGAGATGATCTTCAGCTTCAATTTTGAGAACATCAAGGTACGACAATTACAAGGCTGTGAAGGTCACGGTAACATCGGCTTATAGATGGCTCTCTCCTCGTTCATTGGGTTTCCAATCCAATGTGGACGGCTCCGACCACGAGGCTTGTAAAAGTCGTTTGCCCCGTAAAGGGGTCTCGAGGGAGGAGCGCCAATCGCAGGATCCTTCTACTTTGGCCGTCTGTAGGTCGGAGACACGCGACTCGTAGACCATCATGTGAGTCGCAGGGGCTGTGTTAAGCATTCCGAGGTAAACCTCTTCGAGTCAGCTTACTCAACCGGCGCAATAAGCCTCCGGACGAGGCTGACTCTGAGAGACCTATTTTAAGATTCTCGCGCGGTCATGGTCTTCAGAGAGGACTCGCGAGGTTTTCAGACCAAAGACCATAGGGGCTTGCGGCGATGTTGATTATGCAATTGACGGCTTTTGAGGACCAAGCACTTCCGTGTCGATCGTCACCAAGGAATTTCGAGCACTTACATGTAGTACGCTGACCAAAAGACGGAAAAGCTACGGTACAGTAGGCCTCAGAGACGGAAGCACACGACGTAGTCTGAAGTAGGACGATGTGGTGAGTCGATGATATTGCCAAAGGTTCAATGCCGTGGCCAATATCTATACTGCTGTGCTGATGGAAATATTGAATCGATGCTGCTAAGGACTAGCGCTGCACATGCTACCATACTTGATTGTGAAGGAGCGCAAGAATGTGACAACTGACATTTCCACTTTACCGTTAGCCTAGTAAGTCCCAGCGGATGTGAAGGAAAGCGAGATCTGCAGACGTACAAATACAGAACGCATGCAGAACTCCTAGAGACTTGCCGTCTCTCATTGCTTCATTTTGGCAGGAGCAATCGCCATGTTCCTCTGCCCCAATGACTTCAAATTTCACCCAACTTTATTGGATTGATGTAGGCGAATACGAGTCAGCAGGGTATGTCAAGTGAGGTCGCTTGGTCTGGACTCATTTGGTATGGTCTATGACTCTGGGGAATTAGGCAAGCATATGGTCTGCTTCGAGAGATATTCCATTCTCGTTAGGCAGAGTTGAAGGCGAAAGCGAAAGCGAACCCTTCCAGGCCGGTGCGCGCACGACGAACACCCTACTGAAGATGATGACTGCATGCCTGAATGAGCTGTTTCTTAGATTGCGAAATGTGGCGTTTCTGTCACTGGCCTCGTTCTCGATATACGAGTCTTTGACAGTCTTAAAAAGTTGATGGAGGACGGAGGCATTGGCTAGAATACCGGACAAGATGAAAGCTGCCTTGCTCTTGGCACGGAGAAAAAGTGGCTGAGTTCATGCAGCTGAACTCGGTGACCGAGAGTTTCGCATTTCCGACGCCCGCTAGGGGCGAGACTCGGCCGTTTGTATTGACGTTCATCTCGATGTTGCTGCAAGGAACAGAACAGAACAGTTCCCTCGTGGGATGCAATGATCATCATGGGTCTCGTGCTTCAAGCATAAGGCTGAGCCGCTCCGCTGGAACTGCAAGTACTGAACTTGCCGAAGGATCTGCATGATCCTTCTCGATAATTTTACGCGAACTCATCTCCTTAAGCAACAATCTGTCTCGAGTTCACCACCGACCTGCCAACGGCTATAGTCAGCTGATCTTCGAAGTAAACACTGAGATTTATCAAACAGAAACAGCAATGGCGCGGGTAACGCCTGCCTGGAGGCACGTTTCACTGACGAGCTTACCATAAGCATCTTCCAGCCTTACTTAACCGTAATCGCGAAAATTCCTCAAAAATTGGAGGGTGGTCGAGAACATCGAAGCGACCCACCTTTTACGGTCAAACATTGCATGTGGCCTCGTGGCACATACATATTGACGCACATGACATGATGCGGGTACAGTAATGCTTCCCTCCAACATCCTCAAAAAAGGGCTGGTGTATATACTAGGAACCAAGAGCGGAACTCAAGTCGCAAACACCTAGCAAAGCTGCCGTATGATAGGATAGGATGAATGCGGGATCACACGGCATAGCTTGTGGCTCGAAGGGTAGCGTTGACAACGGACCACAACCACGGACCATTGTTGCTCCTGAAGGCTTTGGAACATGATATGCGAAAAAGGACCTTAGTCAGGCTTCAAGCAGGAAAGACATCAGGTTGGGCTGCGATAGATCGTCGTCCTGGCGGCTTAGATCCTGCCTCTGAACAGGTGCTCGTTCACCTTCTTCAAGACAACCCCCGATGCAAGACGACAATCGACACAGTCAGTGACCTTTGAATGCCTCTCGAGGTGGAGGCCAAGAAGGCTGACTGTAGAGATGCAGAGCAGAGCCACAGAGTGAGAATCTTGACGATGACCCCCTGAAGCTACTTACTAAGCTAGCGTCCCGGATCGGCGAATAGAATAAGCGCAAGCCACTTCCGTCAGCCTTATTCAGGATTTGATGCAACGTCCCAGGTGGAGCATCATTATCATCATTATCAGCCTAAGAGAGACATCAACCACTTCTGGAATAGCGATCTCCTGCTCTTCGAACCCCTCTACATTCCTGCGGATGCTTGAATGTTACATCGCCCCAATTCTGAGGTCCGATATCGCCGTCTATTGTCATTCTAGTCGAAACCAACAGCGCCTGATAACTGCCCAGCACCTCATGTTCCACCTAAGCCCACGTGACACCAAATGAGGCCACAGTAAAGTCTCCGCTCACTTATGCCCCATCGGGAACATCTGGATTAAGGTGGAAAGACTAAGAGCACAGGACACCCGATCTGACGTTATCTTCGTATCTACAGCTTGCAAGATGGAACTAAACAAGCGAAGCAGCCGGACGGTCTCCACAAATCAAAGCTTCTGTAGCTTCCTCTTCTCCTCTTTTCCAGGGCGCGGGAGACATACATGCATCCGCTGCGAGCTTCTTCTCGCTGAATTACAACCCACACGATGACCTCCATTCCCATGAGCCTGCATGAGTCGGGTTTTCGACTGCGTTTCCCGTGCCTGCGCTCGCTTCATGACGCGATGATCTGCAGGATATCCAATCAATGAATCACTAGACGCCTCAACGGTGCTGACGATCGCTCCATCTCGAGCCCATTTCACGTGCCACACCACGTTTTCATGCACGGCCTGACTCCACTTCTTCATTCAACGGAGTCTTTGACTCGATTATCGACTCGTCGAGCCCCTCACCTCCCGAGTGCGCGATCACTGGCATCTGGAGCTTACATGAGGACTCGCCAGGCGCATGACTCAATTGGACAGTAACCCTCTATCACGAGAGATTGTGGCTGATACACGCCCTTAGGCAAGGTGCGTGTGTTTGCATGATTGATACCTTCATTGAAGCCTAGTCCCGACTTCGAAAAACCTGACACGTTGTGGTAATGTAACGACTGAAGTCACTATATAAGACCCTTCATGTCATTCTCTCATCATTCTTTGGCTTTCTGATAGCAATTCAATCTCTCAGTCGCTCGATTGTTGGAGATGCTATCTCAGTGCTTACCCAAACTCGGATTGTCTTCGTTTCTCGTATCAGAGTCTATAATATCTAGTCATTATTGTACCTGACTTGCTTCGGTCTCTTGTACCTATTCGATTCCCTCTTTTTACTCTTTACTCCCTAATAGCTTTGGTCGTCTGGCTATAATAAGACGTGATAAGATAAAATTACATACACCTAACACGACCTCAGCAACGAGGCTGAGCACACCGCATTATCATGGGTTCAGTCCTCAATGCTATCTTGAAGGTTAGCAGTCTTGTCGCCGCTTTACCTCAAACTGCTACAAATGGTATGAACTTCTCATGTGACTTTCAATGCCCTACTGACTCCCACTGAGGCAAATCCGTTTTGGGTACTCTGTCTGCTCCAAAGCTTGCCGATTTTCTGACCAATAATGTATGAACTCTGATCTACAGAACTTGAACATCACTGACATGCACAGCCTCTGGTGAACGGGTATCCTTGGGGAAATCGCGACGCCGTCCACACCAACCCTTACGAGCAGTCACCCACTACAGGTGAGTTTCATCCATTCAAACAATATAACAGCTAGCTAACCCGGTACAGGAGTCACCCGTTCTTATGACTTCACAATTGCTAGAGGAAATATCGCTCCAGATGGTGTCAACACAAGCGTGCTGTTGATCAATGGCCAATTTCCTGGACCAACCATTGAAGCTAATTGGGGGGATATGATCACTGTCAATGTGCACAACCAAATCAGCAATCCCGAAGAAGGCACTTCGCTGCATTGGCATGGAATTCTGCAGCGTGAAACTCCCTGGTATGATGGTGTCCCCTCGGTCCAGCAATGTCCGATCGCTCCGGGCAAATCTTTCACCTACAACTATAAAGCCGATCTCTACGGTACTACTTGGTATCACTCGCACTACTCAGCCCAGTACGCTGGGGGCTTGTTTGGGCCCCTAATTATCCATGGTGAGCGAGATCGGTCTCCTGTGGGTGATTCTCGCTGACTCAGAAATTCGCTCAGGACCTAAAAATGAACCTTACGATATCGACGTAGGGCCTGTCCTCCTCGGCGACTGGTTTCACAGAGATTACTTCGACCTCGTTAAACAAACCATGCAACTCTCCACCCAGCCCCCGGTGTTCTCTGACAACAGCCTCATCAACGGCAAAATGTCGTACGATTGTTCGCTCATCACCGATGGCACAGCCTGCACTCCGAACGCAGGTCTCGCGAAATTCAGTTTCACATCTGGCAAAAAGCACCGTCTCCGCCTCATCAACGGCGGCGCTGAAGGTCTCATCCGTTTCACCATCGACAACCACACGATGAAGGTAATGGCGAACGATTTCGTTCCGGTCAAACCTTACGACACAAATATGGTCACGTTAGGCATCGGCCAACGTACCGACGTGATCGTCGAAGCCAAAATGCCGTCCGACTCCGCTGTCTGGATGCGTTCCGATTTGTCCCCAAACTGTGCAATCGCGAAGAACCACAACGGCCTCGCCGCCATCTACTACGAAAAAGCCAACACAACCACCAAACCCACTACCTCCGCTACGCCGTACGACGATAGCAAATGCGGCAACGACGACCTCGACAAAACAATCCCATTCTTCCAATTCCCCGCCACCCAAAACCCCGCCACCACCCAACAAATCGACATAACCCACAACAAGAACGCGACCGGATTCACCGTCTTCCAGATGAACGGCGAATCCTTCCGCGCAAACTATGATCATCCTCTTCTCATCGCAGCGAACCAGGGCAACACATCCTACCCCGACGACCCGCAATGGAACGTCTACAATTTCGGCACCAACTCCTCCGTGCGCATCATCTTCCGCAATCTCGACAACGCCACACACCCGATGCACCTGCACGGGCACAATTTCAACGTCTTGGCCGAGGGCGTCGGGGTCTGGGACGGGAAAGTAAAACATATTGAGAATACGCAACGGAGAGATTCGCAGATGTTGCAGGCGGGCGGTCCGGACGTGCCGTCGTATTTGGTCGTGCAGTATGAGACGGATAATCCGGGGGTGTGGCCGTTTCATTGTCATATTGCTTGGTGAGTGATCCTTCTTTTGTGGGCTCTTTTGAGGCGACCTACTCCAGCAAATTAGGGGATGGATTGTGGAATGTTTTCTAAAGATTGTGAATGGCTGACTTGTGCATGATCTAGGCATGTGTCGGCAGGATTTTACATTAATGTGATGGAGCAGACGGAGAAAATTAAGCAGAAGACGCTGCCGCAGAGTATCGGGCAGACTTGTATGGATTGGTATGAGTATAGCGGGCATAATGTAGTTGATATGATTGACTCGGGACTTTGAGTTGTTGGAGCTCGTGGAATGGGAAGGGGTGTAAGATTGTTGTAACATAGTGGTGGGGTATTTTGAATGATCTGAAAAGGTGCTTTGCATAGGGTTGGGCATGGGGTTGCATTGCATTAGACTGGAGTATCATGGAAGGAAGGCTTGGGTAGTATATAGCCATATAATGTATAGTATTGCCAGGTAAAGGATATTGCAACTCTTGAGATTGTTCACCCCTGCTCTGCACCTTCATCTCCCCTTCCCTCATCACTTGCTCTTTCCTCTTGCATCCTCGGTTCCATATCCTAATCCATAGTATACTCCTCCAAATCCACCCCCACCCCCCTCGCCACGCCCTTCACAAATTCCTCCCCAACCACACACCTCCACTTCCCCCCACCCGCCTCTAAAACATCCCCTCCGTCTCCCCCCGCCCCCGCACCAGCTCTACTCACCAACCTCAATCCCGCAAGCGTCTTCCACTGCACTAACACCTCCGCCGTTCCGCCCGCAACATCTCCCTCCGTCACCGCATGAAAAATTGCCATACATCTCTCCAGCGGGAAAGGCTGCGGGCCCATTAACCTCCTTCGGGAATGTATGCCCGTGTTCTTTTTCGAAGGGCGGTTAGGAGTGGCGGCGGTGCCGCCACCGCGTTTGCGGCGCTTGGAGTGCGAGGAGCGCGAGAAGAGCGCTATGTCGTTTTTGGGGGGCGTGTGGGAGGCTAGGAAGGCGGAGATCAGGAGGTTTGCGGGGATGTAGGGGAGTTTGAGTGCTGTGCGGTTTATATTAGTAAAGCTGGCAAGTAGGGAAGGGGGCGGCTGAATCTTACCGGAGGTCTTGGCGGCTGGTTTCGAAGACGCAACGGACGTCATGGGGATGGGTATGATGCTCGGTATGAGCGCTGCTTCGCTCTGCAATAACGCTCGATGCCTGACCAGCAGCTTCGGTAGCTCTTGCGATCCACGCACCCCGTACTGTCCGTCTATGATGGGCTGGATGAATGGCTGCCATAGCTTCTCACATACCCTGCGGAGAGAGACGATGTCTCGGGCGGCGCCTTGGCCTAATGCGTCCCACATGTGCCCGAGGAAGCGCGTCCATAGCCATCGCGTATCTTCTTCGCTGTAGGTATATGGAGGTGCTTCGCCGGAGGACGTGCGTGCGGTGGACGAGAGGGAGCCAGTGGGGAAGGGCGAGGGGGACAGGAGTTGGAGGAGCTCGGAAGGTTTGTAGGGCGGGAATTCGATGTGGGGGATTGCTGCGTGTGAGAAGAGGTGGGGGGACGGGAGGCGGAGGACGAGTATAGTGGTTATGCTGGGGATCTGAAGGTTGTTATTTGGCTGTCTGAAAGAGTGGTAGGAGAGAGGAAGGGGGTGAGGTTGATGATGGGGAGTGGACCGTACGATTTCACCTAGTCGGCAGAGGGCAGGTAGAAGCGTTGGCGCAGCTTCTCGCTGGCGGTCTATGTTGTCGAATACGAGGATGAAACGATCACGGCCATTGAGGAGCTGCTGGAGCGTGGCTACGAAGATAGCGAGATTTTCGCATCGTCCGTCAATGTCTGGCAAGGGAATTGAGTCGTCATGGACTGTCAGCGATTGTTTGACTGAAGAGACCGTTCGTTCAAGAAGGTGACGGGTTGTGATGCATTCTTTCGAACGAATGACGGCATATGGTATTTGTAGGTGGGGGAGAAGTCTATCAAGGGCCAATGATTTGCCAGTCGCTTCGACGCCATGGACAATGATAGTCTGGAGACGGCATGCCGGGATCTGGGGATGTTTAGTAGGGGTCTTCGTAATACGAAAGGGAGGGACGCACACCTAACAACAATGCAAGCTGTCTTATTTGAAGATCTCTACAAGATACCTGGTCCTTCACAAGCTGTATAAGCTCTTCGGGCAAGGTTATATTCATCAGAGCGTATGATTGCCTACATGGTATTCTGCCCCAACGACATTCGCGTCCGCGTCGAGCAGCCCTATGATGCTTGGCATCAAATGATATGTCCACACACCCGCCTTTTGTCCCAATAAGATCGGTAAATTTTGTGGGACGGGTTTTCCACAGTAAAGGATCAATAACGTGCACAACATTAGCGCTACATTTAAGCAGTGATTCACCCTATCCCTTTCACAACAGCTATACTAGGACAGTGCCACTTTCAAATGCGCAAAATCCGTCTGATGGCCACAGCTACTTCTTGACAGTAGCGAGACAGTCACTCCGAAATGTCTTCTAGGAGACTCGCTGATGCCGACCCGTGCCCGCCTCTGCATCCGTCCATCACCGCCAGCCTTCAGCGTGTTTCGACGGGCGTTTTTGTTCCAATAGTGGCGCCGTACCTACCACGAAAGACTATCGAGACACTGAAGTCAAGGATCAGCACTAGTGACTGACTATGAGCTACAGCGTGCTGTCCACTGGTCAAAGTCTCCGAGCCCTAGAGGCATGAGCCACAAGCAGCACGTGCGAGTCACTTTTTAGTTTGTCAAGATCGCTAACCCTCCGAGTCTGAAGTGATCCTACATTATTACGCCCTTCGCAAGGCTCTATGAAATCAAATGCACTTTGACTAGGCTACGAAGATGTCTGCTTGGTCATACAAGGCTGAACCTTCTTTGGGAAGGTTCTGTCGCGGATCATTTGGTGGCGTCTTTCCGCACCTGTTATCTTTGAGAATCTGCTTAGCCTCCCTTGGTGCATGAATTAGTGGGACGCCTTACAATCGCAATCTGCAGACCCCAGGCAGAACACGCGGTGACTCCTCTTGTTGCGTCCTTTTAATCCTTTTTCAACTTTCTGTCTTCACTTCATTCCAAGCACTGCGCGACATTTGTTAGTAATGAACTTATGTCCGTTTGGACATTGACCAGATGACAAGATATGATACAGACGTCTGTTGAAGGACTGAAACCGACTGCGTCGGCGGCCTGAGGATTTGGGGTTTTAAGGCCTTCACTTGCTGACGGTGGTCATGGCGAATACAACCAACAATATGACGGATTTTCCGAGTAATCTCACTAATGCGGTGGATATTGAAAAGCTCCTGAGCGTCAACAACTTCACATCGACTCTGTCCGGAAATCTGAACTGGTCGAATTGGACCAACACGCTTTCAACGCTCCAATTCGATCGATCGAAAACAGATTTCAGCATTATTCATCAGGCCGTCTCCGACTACTTCAAACCAGAAACCTTCTCCTTCGAAGTCCTGTGCTCCTATCCTATTAGTGGACAGTATGGCTTTCTCGGTCGACTGTCTTTTTACCTACTTCTCATATTTGCTTTGGTTCTCCGAAGGCATCTTTATCTGTCGACCGCCGCGCTTGGAACCGCAATGACTTACGCTGCAACCACTGTAGTGCACGCATTTTCCCTGCTTGTGTAAGTCATTTGTCTCTGCAACCCCTAAGACCCCCTAACTTACTGCAATGACTATAGCCGCTATCATTACCAGTTGCCCGATTTTGATGAAACAGCAACCACTTGGGTGAAAAAGGGCCCAAGATACTATGGTGATGTTGACATGGTGCCAATGTTGCCTATTCTCGCAACTGCCGCTGTCATGTTGACTCCTATTCTGAATTTCTCCACTGTAGTGAAGGAAAACGAGGCCAGGTCAATCGTGGTTTGGTGGGGCGCTTTAATTTTTGCTGGCTTATTGCCTGTGGCTATAGTGAATTGGAGAGGCGTCTTTCCATTCTTTGTCTACGGCCAGGTTGCCACATGCAACATCGGCCCACATGGCTGTAATTCCACAAGTCTAGTCAATACCACAAATGATTGGTCAAAAGATTTTTACAACAAGTGAGAAAATATTCCCGTCGGATTCAGACCCAAATAAGTGCTGACGCTGTTTAGGTGTCACTGCCGTGATACCTGTGGTTCGATCACCAACCTCACAGCTCCATTTAGGCATGACACAAGTATTCAAGTATATAATATTTCAGACAAAGTCAATTCATTGCAGCAGTCGGAATCCTTATGGTGGCTCTACACAATCAACATTCTCGTTCTAGTCTTTATCGGTGGACAAGGTGTGCTCGGACTTATTGAGATCAAATTACATCAAACCCAGGTCCGAGCCTGGATGTTTCGTCACATTGCTGGCCTGAAGCCGAAATCACAGCGCACTCTGTTCAAAGAAAAGTTGTCATATCATCTAGGAAAAGGAGTAGCGGCAGGCTTCTACATATTCTCCATTCTCATTGCTACTATTTGTCCCTTGGTCTTTATCAGTAGCGTCGTAGTGAATGAGATCATGGCATGGGGCTATCCATACGGTGAAACCTTTGATGCGATCGGTCAGGTAAGAACAGCGATATCGAGCCTAGCACGCTTTTTTACTAACGTTCCATAGTGGGGCTTTTGGGTGTCCGCACTTTTCGTGATACTTGCAGCCATAGTGCAGAAGTACAATCATGCTTGGATGGAGTCGATTGCTCTTGGGTTCAAAACGACACTACGCCTAATCAAATGCATCTTTGGAAAGGATACTCTTCGCTCCATGCCCAAAAAGGAGGAGCGAAATAAGCACAACAGCGCGGTGGAAAATACGAAGGCGTTTTTCACGCAATTGGCTAAGCCTTTCAACTACATCCGCTTCACATTTGCTGCTTTCTGGGACGCAATACGAAAGACGTGGGTAGACTTTCGAGACTGGTGGAAAGATCCAATCAATCATCCGGCTCAAAAACAGTCGCTTCCCATATACAAGATTCGGGAGGAATTCATGAAGGAGGCGAAGCATGTAAAGAGAGCCTTGACCCATCATCATGAAGTCGAGACGTCAGACAGCTCCGCACAAGCGTTGGATCATCACGAGCAAACAACGGCGCATGTGGAGGATCTTCCTCCAACGCCACCAACGAACACTCATACAATCCAGGATTCCCACGATCGTTTGACTCAGGACCCACATCAGCAGCGATCGCAAATCTCGGGCCATACAGAAAGCACTGATTCCAGCTCACCGGAGAACAACCACACGAATGGAAGTCCTGACATCAACACTAGTCAGGCCGTAGGTCAGCATCACTCTGAGCATCTAGACAACCCCGAACAAAGTGCAGAGGCGAAACCTGCGGTACCAAGACGTTCGAGTGATCGTCCTACTGGTCCAAACATAGCTACCACTCAAGGTGAGGGAATGGACCATGCGAATACGCCCGGGAATCGAGGCTCTATACGGGACTGGGGTTTGTATGAGCAGCATCGTTCTGAATTATAGAATTGGCTGGTTAATATGAAAATAATTCTGTCTCTGCGGATTCAAATTTCGTAATCTTAGTCTCCAAGGCAATATCGCAGTGCTTCGGCTTGCCCTTAGTCAGCTGCAGTGCCCTCCACAACATGACGGAACGCGATATCCAGACCAATCTTAGCGCATCCGCTATTTTCGTCGACGGAGTCCGCTGTCGTCCACTGTCCCTTCATCGCTTCGCCCCCCGCCAGCCTAGTCGATCCACTCGTTGCGTCGACTACAACCAGGCTGCTGCTCGTGCTGACAAGCAACCTGATTCTACTTATAGTAAGGGCATGTCAAGAAGTGACGATCACCGTCGATTTTTGATGAATGTGGTAGAGGACGCTGTGTAGCGTAACACCCCTTTGTCGGAGCAGGGGCGTGAGGATGTTTTGTCGCTTCTAATTCAGAGGATCGTGGAGTGCTTCGAATAGTACTAGGTCAGCTTGCATTTGAAGGTGGTGATTGGCGGGCTTTAGAGGACGTGAGGAAGGATGAAACGAAGGAGGGCAGGTGGAGCATGGGATGGAAGTGGAGGGGGGACTTGAGCTGACGAGGTGGGAATTTATGAATTCAAAGTGAAATTGCGTTGAGGCAGCTTTTATGTGTCTTATCTGTGATGCTCGTATCTTGGTAAAAGTCTTGCCTTATCCGTTATATTAGAGTCCTAAAAGGGGGTAGCTTCAGGGTTTTAAAACCCTAGTTTCTATAGCTTCTAGAGTAGCGACAGGGAGGCCAAGACCGGATCATGCCTCAATTACCCAGTCTCCAATGGAGGTGCAGTTGTTCTTACCTTCTGCTGTTTTGATGCATTGAGGGGTAGCACAAGCCAGGAAGGAAGCCTGCCTTGTCAATGGTACGACATGCGGCTCCTCTCAACTGAAGACTCCGGTAGTACCAGCCTTGTGCAGGCCATGCATGACCCTAAGGGACTGCGCCCCCAAGGCGTCTCTATGATCGATGCATTTGTAGCGACCTCACCAAGGTGGCCTATCTCTTTGCTCCTGACCATACGTGGCTACGCCCCTCGCTATGAGGAGTATACATCATGTCGTTCGGCGTCTCCATCAGCGATGTTGGCATGCTCGTGAAGCTTGCTTGGCGTACAGTCCAAAGCACACGACACGCTGACAGCGAGCACGATGAGCTTAGCTGTGCGGCTCTCAGCCTTCACAGTACCTTACGACGTCTCGAGGGGGAAGTCAAGAACCCAAAGAGCTTGCTGAACAAGCCTGAGGATCCGTACCGGAAAGAGGTGGAGGCAATTGGGTCAGGGTGCCGAAAGACCTTGACAGCTCTCGATAAGATATTGGAGAAGTACAGTAGCCTCAATGGTGGCGCAAGAGGCATACCAAACGTCTGGCAGAGGTTTCGCTTTGGTAATGAAGAGATGACGATCAAGGACATACGAGGGAAGATGATTTTCTACACCAGTGCTCTGTCGCTGTACCTCAACATGGTCTCTGTGGGCTCTTCCGGAAGGGTTGAGAGGCAGATGGAGGCTGCTGGAGGTGATTTGAAAGAATTGAAGAGCGCAGTCAATACAATCACGGCACATCTCATGAGCAATGCGAAAGAGGAAGGGTCACAGATGACAGCGTATACAGACGACGATAAGGGGGTATGGAGAGAATTCCGGAGAGAGCTTGTCAAGAAAGGCTTTCGGAGCTCGCTCTTACATAAACACAGAGGGACAATTCAGTCGTATGTCAATGAGCTCGGCGATCGTGGGATCATGGACGAGACAGAAGAGACGGACATTCAGGCCGCAGTCCTTCCAAGCGTCCTCGAAATGCGTGGGACTGTACCGCCCTCTAGTTCTATGGAACGATACAAGGCTCCATCTAAACCCACCCCGAGGGTAGGGAATAACGTACAACAAGAAGGACCTGATCAAGGCGAAGAACAAGAAGCCTCTTCGGCAGAAGACTCAGAGCTCACAGGAGACTCTGGGAGTGAGGTCTCAAAAGTCACTGACCCTGTTGAGAAATTAGAGAAAGAAAGCACGACCAGTAGTCTCCCCAGTCGCTCGAAGGAGGCCAGTGGAAACGTGCCCAGATCTCAGTCAAAAGAAAGCGAGAGGGGTGACACGGTTGAGAAAACTTCGGTTGATTCATCATCAAATTCAACAAAAAGCTTGGATGATGCTGAAGCCGCGCCAGATGGAAGAAGTCCTTCCCCCGGAATCTCAATTACCGAATCTTTAGGCACGCATAGAAGCTCCGTCAGCTGGATAAAGCTTTGTAGGGCGAAGGCTGATATTGCTGAAAGTAATAGACGGCAATGGAGGCAACGAGTTGATCAAGAACTCTTCTTGCAACGGGAAGAGTGGGAGAGATGGCGTTTCCCCAGCGTGTCGCATCCGAAACGCCGCAGCAGGACACCCTTTCTTCTTTCCTCTAAGCCTGGTCTATCTTTCCTTGTAGGTCCCAGGGGGTATGCTGTGTCTACGACGGGTGGGATGTGTCTACTCTTTTTGCCGACTTTGAGGTACGAGTCACTACACTCCAAGCTGCTACGACGATGCTCAAAGGCCAACTGTACGAAGGCATTGTTGACCGAATTAAAGAATACCTTGTAGATGCTAAGCAAATTTTGTATGAGATAGTAGCAGCTGGTCTATACGATTGCCCTGATGGGAGGCGTACTGATTGGGTCTACGCTCATTTGCTAGCAGATTCGGGCGAGAAGATGGTCGCCGGTGCCTGGTTTCTGAATTCAGGGTTGCCCTTTGGAGATCACGACTGGCGACAGCATATTCTCCAGATAGTGCGCGATTGGCTTACAGACGTCTTTTTCAAATTCTTCTTGGACCGAGACAGTGTCATCGTCAATTCAGCGATTCCAGAATCTCAACGAGCTAAGCTCTCAGGCGAGACATTCAAGAAACAAAAGGTCATTTGTAGCATCCCCACTATAGACCGAATACGCCGTGCATCGTACATGAGATTTGCAGACATCCGAATGATCGACCAGAAGATTACCATAACGCGGGACCTCTTGGATAAGGCATACTTGAAGGCACTTCCTGAAGAAGCCAGAACTGTGGACCCAACAACATTTCGATCACGTAGAGAGCTCCTCGGCTATGCATACCTGAACGCACAACTCGATGATTTTGATATCATAATGTTGACCACGCGTTTACGATCTCTGTGTGAAACGGTATTCACATGTATTGAAGACTGGCCTGCATTCCAAAATGAGCGGCTACTGGGGGCTTTAAAGGAGAAATTCGGAGCCTATGCACGGGAACAATGCGAATTTCTCCATAAGTTAGTATCTCAAACAGCTTTACCTGTATCGAATTTCAAATCGGAGATGAAAGGTAATGCATATGAGGGTTCCGATAGAATAAAGACCGGGTCTGAGGAGAAGACAAAGCATTTAGGGAAGATAGACTCCTTCGTTGACGGGCTAGTGACTCCAAGGATGCCGCTTCCCAGGCGTACTCATACATTCAAGCAAGAGCCTACAAAACGGTTGAACGGGTTATCCACTTTATCGAAGACTAGCTCTGAAGGGAAGGACAAGAAATCAGAAAAAGAAGGCTCGCTGACCAATGAAGCTGCCGGAAGCTCTCCACGTGATGATTTTATGACTTTGAAAGTGACAGATGACTGGGGTAAGCTTTTAGGTACGGGGGGTACTCAGTCGAAAAGCCATTCCAAGGAGTCGAAGAAGGGTTTTCAGCAAGATCCATCGGCCACTAAAGCCGTACCAGGCGCTTTTTCAGGGTGGGCTTCTTCGAAAAACAAAGGCAAGATCACAGGTATAGATTACACGCGTCGTGTAAGTTTTAAGAAAAGACCGTAAAAGAACGAGAAGAATGGATTCCTGATTCAGACATGCGGGACCTTTTCTACAATTCTTGGCGGGTATGGCAAGGGATTGAATCGATTCCGATGGTCTAGAGGCAAAGGTAAGTAAGCTACTCGTTGGAAATGTACCAGGCTTGATTTTGAAAGTCTCGTGTACTTGAGCTACGAGATAGCTTTTTCTGGATAAGGGAACTGCGGCAGGAAACGTCTGAAAAACACATCGAGATTAAAGCCATCTTCACTGCCCGCAAGAAATGATCCCAATACCGTGACCCAATCTAGCTTCTTGATTTGCACAAGAAATTCTTGGACCACAACCTGAATCTGTCGTTGACCTAGCAGCTTTGTATCTTAGCCTACGACGCTGACTTCGTTATTAGCTTCCAGCCCTTAATTCTACATGTGGAGAAAAGGCAACGTGTGTTTAGGACGATGTCACCTGGATATGCTTTCAATCCTCAACCGAGATGGGACAAAGGTCAGAATTCGATGCACAAGCTTCACACCTACCTGCCAGCGGTCATGTCGGCTGTGAGCACGCGATATTGCAGCCTGAGAGATTTTGGCAATACTTCAATGGCATGGATGCTCTCGACTTCTTAGAGCTGAAAAGCAGAAGTGAGGAGAATGCTAGAGCGAAGGGGTATGATCTGCATAGCTACCAAATGTTCATCTGGATCTTATGCTTCGACTATCATTGTTTGCGCCTTCCCTCGAGGGACTTCCCTTTCCTCTAAGTTTCATATTTCTCTCAGGCACGTCTCCACTGCCAGCAAAGCATTCGCTGGTAATTGCCCCTAAAACCTCAAACCTGTTCGGTCTTTCCTTGCTCTTGGTTTTCACTAGAACGCCGTCTACAATATCCCCGTCCAGCCGTGCGAATGTCTGCGTGGCTTGGTGCATGCACGGATTGTAGCTCATGAATGCCAGCATGAAAAGCGTATCCTCGCAATCTGAATTGGGTTCCGCGTGCAGCGTTTCCCAGTGAATGATAGTCATTTTGTCCGTTTTGCGTGTATGGAGAAAGGTGGGGGCATGGTGATGAAAGCGGCGAGAAGGTGCATCGAGCTTCAAGCGAGCCAGGGACGACGCGTCTAGGACGAGCGAGAGGCATGGGGCGGGGGTAGAAAGTCTTGAGACTGCAGGGGCCGAGGAGCCCTATTACCATTGGGGGTACTCACAGCGATGGTCAGTGAGTTGTAGTTGTATGAGAGCAGAAGCGAGGAACGAGAAGGGAACCTGCCCGGTATCTTCAAGGTCGGAAACTTTATTCCTATCCGCCAAAAGAGTATGGCTACCTTCGCTAGTCGTCACGATTGTGAAGAGGTGTCCTAGAGACAAAGAGTCAGCTTGAGAGCCGGGTATTGGGTGCATAAGGTCTTTGACCCGTTGAGGGATGAGGAGAGATTGGCGTGGATTTATCTCGTCGTCTGCTGGGTTAGTGGAGGAGGGGTGCCGTGGTAAGGTACGTGAAGGATCTGGACAGGGCGGTGACTAGGACTGTGAGGTGAGCGGTGAGGAGGCGAGGTTTGAGGTGCATAACCTTCTTTAGAGGGGTGTGACTGGATTTGAAAGGTGCGGTGCGGGTCAGGGTTTGACATGATTGAGAAAAATTGGCGGAAAGGTGGCGACGAGGTATCTTATGGATTGTCGAGTAAGATCTGTTACTCCACTCTCCAACGGGAAGAGGACCATATCAATATACGAAAAGTTCTCCCCCTGTTTCTTGCTTCGTGAAAAGAAATCTTGCCTATTCTTCTCACTCGATTTCCAGATCTTCGCTCCAACAGAAGACGAGCCATGTAGTCAGCTTGTCACGCGGCAGGCAGCCCGCTGATCTTCATGTAGGGTCTGAGAACGGAACTTGTGGATGATCGTATGGTGCCTGTCCTTGGTCGGCATTGAGCTATTGCAGTATGGCTGTTGGGACTTGAGGGCTTGGTATCGAGGACCTATCTGAATTGTGGCCTGCTTCTGTAGATTAGTCGCACTCATACTGATGCTATGGCGAAACTGACGCAGCTGGCAATGAATACTTCATAGGCTGTTGTAGGGAGTTGGTGAGCACCCATGCAAGGGCGAGCGATGATATGCCTATGACTGTCGTTCAACCTTTTTCGGGGTGAGAGGTAGTCCCTCAGCATCGTTGTTGAATTTTGGTCATCGCCGAGAATCTGTATTCTTTTGGTAAGCCTTGCTTTTTCGGGCTCTTTCAATTTGACTCATGATTCAATTTCTTTTTCATGTTGTTACAACCAGGTCAGGACGATGCTCTGTTAGCTCGTAGCTCGGTTTGCTCCGCCCTGAATGTCAGATTCAGATCGAGAGTCGCGGCTTCTGTATTCTGAGGATAGGGTTGTCGAGGCTTCTATGAACCCAAAAAATATTGGAAGACTGAAAAGGTGGGGCTGCAATATTCTGCGTATCTGTGGACGCGATGTGACTGCCCATGATGGAGGTGAGCTTGAGTGACTATCCGAAGCGCTTCTAGTAGGGATCCCTCAAAGCATGACTGAGGACATCGTGAGAGGGTCATGATATGTTTTCTGGAGAGATGACGACTCAGCTTACTGTGATGGGGACTTCTTCATTCTTTCGAAGAGAACACAGAATATTGTTGGTGTGACGTCCCTCTGCCATCCCAAAAACTTGTCCCCATAATTGCTGCTCGTTCTGGAGGGACATCAAAAAGGCTTGAAGACAGTTGGTGATCAACCATTGTCTATGAGTAGGCTCGGGATGGTTGACGTTTGGTAGCCACACAGTTGTATCCGTGGTAAACGGGAAAGTGGGAAAGTGGAGAGGGTGGTAGGGTGCTGTGTGTTGATTATCAGGAGAGTCTTTTGTGAGATGAGATTGTAGTAGGACGACTTGAGAGATCTGTTTTTGCGATCGAGGGTCGAAGCCATGCTTCAGATGAGATTCCTGGTGTTCATTGAGGCCTGTCAACAATGTAGTTGAGATGCTAGTATATGAGGAGGCACCAGAATCCCGTTCTTTTGCTGAGTCGTGTGTGTGAAAGATTCACTTTCCCGTATGTAAGACCATATACCATTCTGCTCCATTATTCTTGCTGCGTGTGCTCATCAGCACTTTACGAAGCTTTGTTGTGGTTTGTCGTTTTGTCCTTGGCACTGAGTGATCGTTCACGAGCAAGCTCAGGCACGGGTCTGAGAAGTAGGCTGTTGAGGCTGACATTGCATCGAGAATGTATTCGAAGAGTCTTTTTCAGACGGTAGTGTGATGAGGAGAATACTGAATAGATGGGTGCGGACTTGTCATTAAGTGCTGTTCTCAAGTAGAAAGCAATACCGTATGATTGATGATGCTTCCAGGCTTTGGGTCAAGCGACGACGCCCTTGACTGATGAATAATTTACTTAGGCAGCATAGGGTGTTGACAAAAATGTGCTAGCGTGACACGAAGGCAGTCTCGATTGTGGCGAATATTCACCTGGGAAGACGGAATTCAAATCACTTGAACTCCATTTTGTTCTCCTCGCACATGACTCTCACGAAGTAGAGATCAATCGAAAACTTGGTATTGTTCGGACCAGGCAAATGCGCTGATCACGGCATTTGCGCCTGCTTCTTGCCTGTCTGAACCTACAATATTGAAGAGAATTCTGTTCCGACGTATGAACCAGAAGGCATCACGATCCACGTATAATGTTCTCAGGGTTCATTTTCAGGATATCCCGTTCACCACGCCTAATGTCTCATTGGTACTCGGCTTGTCCTGTCTAGATCCAAGCATTATTGCTGCAAGCAAGCTGTCAAGCGGATGCACGCTGCGAGTTACCGTGGAAATATCTCATTACCTAGGCAAATGTAGATCTGGCCTTCATCCGAGCAAACCTGTTCATCTACTAAGTTGACTACAAGACAGCTTGACTCATCTCAAGGACATGCATTTGCAGTGAGATGTGGGCAATAATTGCACTGCCATGATCTTGTATGCCTACAAAGAATACGAGGCGGATGGTAATTTCAGTGGAGCGCCCGATCAAGTGGATACATCAGATATCTATTCCCACACAACCATACGGACAAACCAAGAGTATCGCCGATACAGAATCAGATTGGGAAGAAGACATATCAGGCATACACTGAAAATTTTGCGTCCCTTCACATTTCTCATGCTGCTCATGAAAGATGGCCTAGGAACGAGAATGAAGCTCAAATCACGAGAGGTAGCGATGCAAGCCTTGAAAAGCCTTCATTATGACTCTTTTCGCCTCTGTCTCACGGAGATATTACCGTCATCTAGCGTGTTGCCCGTATCACAAAATCTCCACGCCAGAGCTCCAGATTGAAAACTCAACATACGATGAGAGCTGGATCCGTCTTTGGTATTAAAGCTTTGAACAATGAAGCCGAATCTCACTTTTCGGCCAGATTCCAGCTGGACACTTCGTCGCTAGCGGCCAGTGATTCCTTTGCTAGTACACAATTTGACAAGCCTAAGTGCCTCACCAGATTGTCTTTGTCATTCAAAAGACAAACTACCTTTGAACACCAACGCCGATGAAAATCACACTTTGCAATACTGCTTAGCCTGGTCATGAGAAGCCTCTGGCTTTATCCGAAAAGATAATCTAAATACGCAAATATTCGGGTGAAGTTTGTCAGAGGCAAACCGTATTGATAGCATGAAATTGACTGGCGAAGGTTTGCTATACCTTGGATTTCCTACATTGTGCCTGCTTGCTGTGCTCAGAAAGCCCGTGAATGGTCAGAGCAAGGGGAAAGACTAACAAGACCTAGCAACAAAATTATCATGCCTTTGAGCCATGTTTGCGGCGAAGGCATCCTCATTGCCCCTCATGAGCTACTCATCAGTAGTGGTTACCAGGTTGCCTTACAATACCTTCGATTTGGAGGTTTATAAAGTCCAGTTGTCCATCCTTCTATTCTGCTTCTTCTAACCACTTACATTCACACACTTTTGGACGAGTTCACTTGTTCGACCCTTTCAACGCCCTAGACCAGCTTCTCTGGTGTTCTCTTAATTTGACGATGCCGTAAGTCTCTAAAGTTCCAACGAAACAGCCAACGGTTACAAGCGATGCTGACGGTTCATAGTCATCGACGTCGCCATCAGAATCATGCATCATCCCGTGATCATCGCGAGCACTCTCAAGACCGGGATTATTCCAGGTCCAGACATCAGCCACCGGCACGTTTTGGGCGTAGGGACGACAATCAATCCGAGCCATACGGCAATCTTCGTCGCCCGCAACATACTTCAAACCGACACTTCTATCCTACGCCATTCGACACTTGGGCTAATGCAACTGATACGCACGAAAGATTTCGCGTAGGGGAAGGCGGGCCCACAATCGTCTTGACGAGATACTATGTGCCCGCAGAAACAGCTGGGAATCAATGGGAAGATGACCTGGTTAGAGAAATGGATAGGACCAGCTTGTACGGAACATCTTCAGGAAACAACTATGGCTCGTCAAGTGGAAGGCAATTGAGGAACGCGGATAGCAGGTTGGGGCCAAGGACGGATGGCCAAGCAAGAAGCAGGCACGCTGGGCGCGGATATGGAAACAGCACTTCGCCGGTCACGTATGGCAGTGTCGGTCAAAGACTCCATGGGCGTCAATCCAGAGATGAAGGCAGATCACCTTACATATCAAATAGCCGACACGATGGATCCCAACCTCATCGTCGTCGTCGCTAGTGCGTCTACGTCACTCCTTGCATTATGAGTAGGACTAGCTTGTCGATAGAAAAGGGGCTAGATCTAGGGCTTTTAATTTCTTGGCAGCACGCGTTCCTGCGCGGTGTGAGTTCCACTTTACACCACTCGTTCCAGAAACACGCTGCTCCTCATTGCTCTGTGTTTACCAATCCAACTTCCTCAATACGTGCACGTAACCCTAGTCCATTCTAATTGATTCGATCATGGGCGACCGAAGTACCAACCCGACTCAAGGCGGCGTCGACCCCGCCACAAACCCTCCTAAGGGCAAGGGCAAAGCAGACCCACAGGACGTGAGCATGGGCGAGGAGGAAGATAGCACCTCAGACGAGGAGACCGGCGCTGAAGATGATGTATGCTTACCTCCCCTATCCTATCATCTATCATCGATTATCCCTTCTTGAAGTCCATCGCATCTCGCCCCATGCCCCACTTCCCACTTTTCAAAATTCGTTGCTGACCCTGGTACTGGCGCGACATAGGCACCCGAACAGCGTGAGTTCTTCCTCGCATGATTATTGCTCAACGCACTTTATGCACCTTCTCTGTCGTCGCGTAGCAAAAAATCAATTCATGGCGAGCCCTCAATTCCCCCTCCAGCTACTTCCTCATGACCGAGTTTGTTGCATTGCAGCAGTCGCTAAATGATCAATCCGATCTTACAGTAGAAGAGGAAGATGACGACAACATGGAAGAGATCGACACGAGCAACATCCGCCCTTCTCGTACGCGAGGAAAACAGATCGATTGGCGCCAGGCAGCCGAGAAAAACAAGGACGATCTCGGAGACGAGGATGAGGACGAGGACGATGATGACTTCGAGGGAGGAGAGGAGGATGAGGAGATGGCTGGTTGATCGGGAAACAACAGCATCTAAGGCGAAGAATCGGGGAAGAAAGGGCGGCTATGTGTCACTGTGAATATGTTATGCGACGGTCTTGATACAGGCTCATGGGCACGGGAGGTGGTATGAAAAGTCAAATCTTGAAATGCATGCATCTTGTGCCACGGGGACAATTGGGAGGGTGTGGGATCCATTAGGGTAGAGAGCAGTACATCATCAATCTAACAAATTACGATCTGAGGAGGCAAGTATAGAACACTCTTACAGTCATAAAGACTTCATGACTTGGGTCTCGATCTCGTTCATTTGCTTACGCTGCCCTGCAACGAACCGTTGCTGACCAATTGGCACTAGCGTGGACTTGCCTCAATATTTTAAATCACCACCAGACTCGTGCTCCATCCCACCGCTAAAATAGCCTAACAAGAGATGTTCTTTCTCTTCCAAGATACCTTAACATACCATAATGCCGAGCGCACATTCGTTCGCTCACTTAACATAGTGACATCAAACTACGCTCTCAATGACAACAGAATCCACCCGAACACTTGTTTGCTCTCAAAGTCGCGACTTCCCACAAGTGCCAGCTTCTCCCACTTCCTCTTGATCTCTCAATCTCTGACCTGGCAGCAGGACGTTAAAAGGCTCCTCCTTCAGCTGCTGACGATTTGACTCAGACTTTCACTACGTGGGAAAATCTCGATACCTCAGACAACGCTTTTCCGGATGATTTCACACAATACTGTTGGGGTTTAAGCGAAGAAACACTGAATGACACCTTTCTGAAATGATCCTCGCGATTAGGCTCGAATTGTTGAGGAACAACCCCAAACTCAACCGGAGCTACAAAGAAACCCTGCGATATTTTGATTAAGCAGCGCCTGCTCCGCTTAAGTCTCGATATGGCCCACCACCTATTGATCTCCAGACCCACCGTTGGTCAGGTAGCGGAAAGCTGCTGGACTCCGTCCCTTAGTCCTTGGAATAGCCATGGTATGTTCCTCAGTTCCTTGCATGTATGAGCGTCTAACTTGACCTCCGGTCCGTAGGGTATACGATACAACGAAGACGAGCCTGTTGTACAGCCACAGAAAAGCTGGAAAGCCAGTCCAATGGGCTCTCGACAGCACCAAGCCGATCTCTATCACCACTCCAGGGCAAGACCAGAAGTAATTGTGACGGCGTTCTAAAGCTTTGAACACACAAGAGCCCTCGGTAAACCAACGAAATTGGTTCCAAGCTCAGAGAATGAAAGAAAACGGGATGGTGTTTGATAGGAATGCTCCAACGAAAGATGCTTAATTTGCCATGCTTGCCTAAGCTCAGTCAAGGTATACTCTAGGACTGCCAGAAATTTTGCCTCCTGACAAAGTGGTTCATGGTGGAACTCGGCTGCAATTCCGTGCATTGCACACAAATCGTGACCTTGAATACCTCGTTGACAAAATTGAAATGTGGAAGCAAGACGTTCTGCGCTCCCTTGGACCAAATGATGTGACGGCTCAAAAGTCTATTTCTATTCAACAATATACATAGAAGACAAAGTCTAGATACGACAACATCGCCAAACTCATCCCTCGCCCTCAGCACGTTCTCTTCTCGTACACCGATTCCCCCACCACAGTCGCCAAAGCTCTCCTCACCCATCCAGCGCCTTCCACGTCTCGCTTGGCGCAGATCTCATAATCACCACCACCTCTATTAGTTGCGGCTAGAAACAGACAATGTCAGCAATGCGTTCCCTCGTACATCAGCACAAACTCGATCTAACCCACCTACGAAGGGTTTCCCATTCTTATACGTGGTCTTCTCCTTTTCCTCGGGCGTTGACCCTGCTTGGGCTTGCTGCAGACTACTGCCGGGCGTGATATGATCTGGATCCTGAATATCTGTGGTGGAGCCGGTGGAGCCGGTGCGGTAAATTGATGAAGTGTCTGGGCCTGTGTCGGCTACGTTCGCACGAGCGAGGAGGGAGGCGGCCTTAGTGTCTGGGTTCGGCATCGGAATGGCGTGGGTGAGGAGGATGCTGAGGGATGTTGTAAGGATGATGGCTTTGATTTGGTTAGTATGTGCTTGTTGTCGTCGAGGGAGAGTACTGTGAAGGTCTGAGGGCTATACGTACCGAATTGCATGATGGCTAACCCGGAGTTTGTAGAGGAAGTATGTGTGTACTCAAAACTTTTGATCTTGAGAAGTGAGGATAGAGTGGGTTGAAAGTGGTGAAGATGATGATCATCATCAATGACGGTAATGTCTTTGCTAACTCTTCTGGAGGGGATTGTTCGATGAATGGATGCCGATCTCAACCAGTCACAACCACCTCTTATATACAGACTTCCGACGAATACGTTTCAGTGTTCATTCGCTCGCCAACCTCACCGTCTATCGCGTACGAAATCTCTGAGTTCACGTCATTTATCACTCAAGCTTATCGACCCTCCCACCACGGAGCCGCACTTGCGAGAGATTTTGCCACCTGACGAGGAAGCGTCAGCAGACGGCGAACTCTAAAGCCTCAACTTGTGGCGGGGGCGCCGGCAACGACCCTGGCGGCAAACCTACCTTGCTCTCTGAGAGGTATCTGATATGGCGGATTTCCTGTCTGGGCAAGGTGGGCATCAAACGAAACATGCGAATTGCCGAGATAGGGGAAGTGATATCATTAGTGTTTCAAGAACCATTCTCATCATCATCATCATCATTACTCCCCGGCTGCTCCTCAATTACTGGAACACAACGATCAAGACCACCAAGATATCTCCTCAATGACCTTTGGTCCCCGCTTCACGGGACGCCATTGGTGAAGTGACTGTCGTTCCCGAAGTTCGCACGCTCGAACGTCAATCCAAAGTACTCGTGGCAAATGGAGAATTCGGAATTGCGGGGACGGCTGAGGCGGAATCAAGCTTCATCACAAGCCAGAGGCAAAACGATAGATAAGGCGGGCCGCCCCTTTCCAGCCCTGTCCATGTTGTTTCACGGGCTCTAGGGGTAGGGATTGGGGATGAGATTGGTGCGGCTATAGAATGTCGGTGCGTTAGGGCTGGTGAGCGTGCCGTCTGATATGATAGCCGGGGAATTTGGATCCTTTGCCGGATGCGAAAATTTGTTTGAATCTGGAGTGTTGCGCGATGGGAGTCTGTCTTTGAGGTATTTGAGCATTGAGAGGGGGAGGGGGAGTAGGGTTTTCATGGGGTGGAAATCAGACGTGTGAGGTGGAGAGAAACTTCACACCTACCCGCGGGAAAATTCAACCACTCGAGTGACTGAAAACATCTTGTGCAATCTTAGAGAAGTAGTCAGGCTTGAGGATGAGATGTAGATATCTGGCTCGACATTGATATTTCTTGGAAGATCATGGTATGTATTCGTGAGAATATGTCTGTGTATGCATAAATTTCCAAGAAAATGCAATTCGACCATTGTTCTTCCAGATAAGCAACCAAAAACCTTTGATATCTCTATCGATCAACCTTGGTAGCCGTAGAGTATTTTGGAAGCTCCTGCCAAAAGCACGCATGCCCCCAGCTTCTGCCAATCCAGCGAACTTTGAGCCATAGGGAATATGCAAAGACGCGATGCTAAAGAATTTCTGCTACTATGGCTAGGTTTTCAGTCGTGTGGTAGAATGAGCATTTTACGTGCATTTTTCTGCGTGATGGGGAGACAAGGTGACATGTGCGAAAGAGTTGCGGCTTGAAAGGGTGAAGGAGAGGGTTGAGAAGATGCTCTTCTGATGAACGCATCTAGGAGATTGCGTAGGGAAGGGCTACCTCGTTCTTACTGAATCCTAGAGGCCGTGGACTTGTAGCCACCCATTACCTCAAACTCGGGACTCGCTTTGCATGAGACGCCAGCTGGGACTTACCACTACTCTCTGAAGAACCAGCCTCAATTCCTCTCAGCAGCAATTCTTTCCTCCGCCAGAGCTTCCCGCCTCGAGTTGCTTTCCGGATCCAAATACGGCCTCTCCCCCACCCCCACAACCCTATGCCCCCTGCGCTCCCCATACCCCTCATAATCCGGCGTAGCAGCATGATAAACACTCCTATTATCCCATATCGCCAAATCACCCACCTCCCTCCACTTATGCCGCACCTGCAAATCATGATTCTCCACCACCAGTCTCAAAAACCAGTCCAACAAGCCCTTGGACTCATCCGCAGTCAGCTCGTTGATGTGCGATACGTGGTGACCGACTGCGAACACGGATTTCCAGCCCGTGACGGGGTTCGTGCGGATGACGGGGTGCGTGGCCTCGAGGGATGTGCCGGTGTTGAGGGGGCTGCCCCGCGGGCCCGGGTGGAGGGAGAAGTTTTGCGTCGAGGCGGCTTTGTGGAAGAGTGGTTGGGCATAGGTGGCCGTTAGGCCTTCGAGGAATTTTTGGTATGGGGGGGAGATGCGGTCGAAGAGCTCGTAGCCGGATGCCCAGAGCGTGTCTGGAGGGATAGTCAGTGGGGTTTTTGGTTTGGTTGCAGGGCAAGGGGGCAAGGAGGGGAGAATGTGGACGTTACCTCCGCCAGTCTTGGGAAGCTCAGTCAAGCGGAGCGCGGAGAAATCGGAGGGGGCCTGCTCAAATGTGATGTCTGAATGCCATTGATCTTTGAGACTTTGTTTCCTGGTCCTCGGATCGAGCGCTGAGCCGGGGTATGTGGACTTGGCGGCCAGGGAGGAAATCACGCTGATTTCATCATCTTTCGAGCTGTGTTCACGACCAGAATTTGAGACCGGGTGGATGTGCAGGCCTGAGGTGCTTGGCTTGCCTGAGAGTTCTCCTAGACGCTGAATTAATTGCTTTTGGAGGTCGTCGGTCAGGTTATTTTGAGCGCGGAAAAAGACAACGCCGCGCTGGGATACTGTATAGATATGTTGGCGTGGAAATGCTATGGTTTTCCTCGTGGGGGTCGAGGGCCGGACCTACCGGTGATGGCCAGATCCCGTATCAAGTCGTCCGAATTCGGCGATTTGAGCCATGCGGTGATGTCCACGTCTTTGAATTCACGGCCAATCACGGGAGTCACATCAAAGTACTCAAAGTCTTCCAGAACTCCCTTGAACTTCAGAGGCTCCTTGGACTGAGTATGCTCGGATGGCACCCTTTGATTTCCCTCTGTCTCCTTCGTGGTGTGACCGTTGACCGCAGTTTTTGAGTTGTCGGCGATTGCTGCTCCAGACACGTACCCATTATCAAGTTGTGGTGCCATGATCTCGCGACAAGACTGTAGAAGAAGCTTCGTGAAGTAGAGACCCAAGGTGAGAGGAATTTATACGATTATTTGATAGTTTGTAGAGATCGAGCAATCAGCAAATTGGCAAAGCGTAGATTAATGGCGGACTTTCCTTCATAGTCTGTAGACTGGCGCGATACATTAGTGTATGGCGTGCTTTTTTCCTGGACCTGAACCTGGACCTAGTTGGAGGAACATGGTAGATCACGATGGTGGGGCATATTCACGTGTGCTTACTCAGCTACTGACCAGAGATCAGGCTGGCTTTGGGTACCAAATGGGATGATGAGAATTGCCATAGAGTAATTAGCCTACCTTGACTGATTGTTGAAGAGGGATTCTACCGCTGGATATGCCAACTGTCATCGGCTATTCTCCTTAAACGATTGACAAAGGAAGCATACCCATCATTAACATTCGTACTTCCCTGACAGGAAGATTGTGTTCAGCGTCCGTGTATCAAAGCGCTTTCTCATGAACCCGGCGAATTTATCTTGAGCATGCTTAGTCTACACATAGGATAGACTGGGTACGCAGGCAGTGCAGGTGTATCATTGTAACTTTGTAAATTTCGCTTTCAAGTATGGACGTCCGATATGCGAGTTTTACTGGTTTCCCCCGTATCTGACAGCTGTCTTGATATCGTCTGCTATCTTCTCTGCCAGTGCATCTGTGTTAAGTTCGTCAGCTTTGAATAATCCGAGTTCACGATTGAAATTATAAAGATTGGTGATGCGCAGGCCCCGTTTTTTCACGCGACTCCCACGAACTCCAACTCGCCATGTAGTATTTCTCCACGAACTGCGAGCGAATGTCGCTCCTCGCAGTAGAAAATGGGCAACTGAAGAAGAGAAGACTTACAAATAGTAGCCATAGGATGCCCTGGCGGCAAGAACGGAAATGCACTCGCGTCCACCACTCTCAATCCTCGCACACCCATTACCCTACACCTCGAATCTACCACCGCCATCTTATCACTCTCCTTCCCCATCTTATTCGTCGCACTAGCATGAAATACAGCCCCAAAACTCCTCCTCACCGTTTCCAGAATCTCCTCATCGCTTTCCCCACCAACGCCTGGCACCCCACCTCCGCCAACAGTCTTACCGGGAAACGCCTCGTCACCAATGACTATTTCCTGCATCACAGGAGTTGCAAAGGCGGCACGTGCACGCTTGTAGGCGGCGATGGCAACGGCTTGATCAGTCGGGTGAGTCAGCCAGTTGGGGTTTATGAGCGGCTGGTCAGCAGTGTCAGGGGAGGAGATGGAAACGTTGCCGCGGGAGAGGGGGGCGACTAGGGCGGCGGCTAGGGTGACATATTGATTCGTGTCATGAGGGGCGCCGGTCACGAAATTCTCCTGGAGGCCTAGTCGAGGGGGGTGTAAGTGGTATGTTCATCTAGAGTTGCAGAGAGGGAATATAAGTTCATATAACGAACCGAAATAAGCACCGATGGCTAAATATTCGAGCTCAGGCCAGTCATCTGGGAATTGAGATAGATCGGAGAGGGCAGACGCAGGGAGGGATGAGCGAGAAGATGGGGGCAATTTTTCCCATGCTAGAAAGTCGGAGCCGGGGTTTGAAAGGATGCCGGATTGTGTGGCAGCAAATTCTTTCATTGCTGCGTCTAAGTAAGAGGTTTGCCCGAGGGAGGAATCTGTGATGAGATTGACGGAGTAAGATGGTCCGAAGAGGACGTGATCCTACGACAGTCATCTATGTTTTAGAGGATATGGAATAGAGCCAACGAACCCACATGTTTTGACCGACTCCTGGACGGTCCGCAATGATAGGTATATCGAATTGATCTAAAATGGCTTTAGGGCCCACACCAGATACCATGAGTAATTGTGGTGACTGGAACACTCCTGCAGATAAAATGACCTCCTTCTTCGCTGACAAGGTGATAGTATCTGAGGTTTGGTTTCCGCCTGCGACTTGGATCCCTACTGCAGTTTTACCTTCGAAGACTACCTTCTTAGCCAGTGTGTGCGTATACACTACTAAGTTGGATCGACCCTTCGTAGGCTGAAGAAACGCTGTTTCCGACGATTCCCGTAGACCCGTGGTAGAATTGATCGTCGCCACATTGTAGGCTGAGCCAAGAAGCGAGCCACTCGTGAAGCCCTTGGTGGGCTTGATGCCAATAGCTTCTAGACCTTGCTGGATCCACGATGAGAATGAAACGGCGTAGCTAGGGAATGTGATGTCAAGGGGTTGCCCCCAGCTCCAAGAAAGGTATCATCGTAGTCTGGCGTTGCATTCAATCCTCGTTTCTCATTCTTTGGAGGGGTGAAATTGAGCGACTTTTCGAAGTATGGAAGAAGATTTTCGAAAGTATAGCTTGGATCGCCGACCTCCTCGGCCCAAGCTTGGTATGAAGAAATGGTACCTCGCTGGTAAGCCATGTAATTACGGGCGGTGCAGCCGCCTAGGGTCTTCCCTCTAGCATAATGGATGATTTCGTTATGGGCTCCCTATGTGCATTTAGTCATCCTCAAACACAGATTCAAGATCACATACAGCCTGTGGAACAGTGGTGAATCCCCAGTCAACGTTTGGATTGGTATCTTTTGGATCCTTGCCAGCCCATAGAATGGCATTTGCCGGAACCGAAAGCTGTGAACCACTGCCCACCGAGTCTTCGTAAAAGCCTCCAGCTTCTATGACGGCGACCCGAAATAGAGAGTTCTCAGAAAGTCTTGCGGCAAGTGTCAAGCCAGCATTTCCCCCACCAACTATAATGTAGTCAAAACTGGTATCGCTTCCATTGAGGCCTTTGCTGCCGTCTGTTACGGTCCTGCGCCGCAGCGACGCCGAGGAAAGGCAGGTTGAAATTGAAAGTAAGACCACCAAGGAGAAGACATGGCGAATCATGGAGCTCAAACACGAATTGAATTTCGAAAAGAACGGGGTTATGTTCCGCAATTGTCGCGGTCGTTAGAGGAGCGAGATGAAATGGACAGTGCAATGCACATTGAGGCTCCCGGATCCAGGTACATATTTCATTGCATTTCCCACGTGCAACTCGCATTCATGCAGGTTATGAACCCGCGAAACAGTGGGATGACGACAAGCGCTGACCTGCAGGCCTTAGGGTCTGTCACTGGGTCGCAAATGGGAACGAGCAAGCCAGTGAAGGGAAAGTTCCTCAGTGGCTAGATTACTGAATCATAGCAATTGCCAACCGGCGCGTGGGTTGGCGGTCAGTCCTGAATGCAAAGAGCCGCAAGAGGCATCGATCCCCCCAGTTAGCGAGTCACTAAAGAGTCACTAGACCTGTAGAGGAAGGGTGCTATCAGCTAGGTGTGGGCTCCATAGAGCCACCCTGATCCGGCGCGACGGTAGTTGAGCTTGTTATCCCAATGGTTGCACTGTTTGATGGAGGTATGCGCATGCGAGGTGGACCCTCGCATGATGTTCGATGTTTGAAGATGAAGATCAATGTTGACAGATAGCTTACATAACATGGCATAACATTGCATAAAATTGTGCAAGTGTACCTCGCCGTGGAGCGGCGCCTATTTCCACCGACATCTACATCGAGAGGCGATGAACATGTTAGACATCGATGCAACATGGCAGACGGGTCTAGTCCACCGTCAGGAATCTTCTGCAAGGTCTTAAATAACCTGGACTCTCGATTGCCAGGAGCATGAGGACGAACGCCTATCGGCGTTGCCTACTTTTTCTCGGCGACTACTTTTCTGGTACTTTCGGGTACATTCCAAGTCCCACAGTTTCTTACATAAGATGAAGATGCTTATGCGCCGCTAATGCAGTGACTATGGTCTGCATGAAGAAAGATCAAAAGGCTTAGGCACGGATCTCAGTACCTGAGGTCGCCTTCGAGTGTTCTGTGGCCCACGTTAGTCCAGTGGTTTGGGCGCTCCTTCCTTGACGAGCATGTGCTTCCTTCAGCGCTTCGTGAGAGCGCTTGAACGCATTTACTGCATTTAGTGCCTGTTTGTTCTTGCACTTTATCTCACTCCGTACCAATATCGGAAAAGTCGCAATGGAAGGCCTGAAACTAGAGTCTCTTACATCTAAGAGTGCCTTTGGCGGCCTCGCAATCGTTTGCTTGCTCATTTGGTACATCTCTCGTCTTCTCTATAATGTCTACTTCCATCCACTTGCCCACTTTCCTGGGCCAAAGTTGGCTGGCGCAACGCGGTGGTATGAAGCGTACTTTGACCTTTGCGTTGGCCCTGGTGGCCAGTACTGGAGGGAGATTGACCGAATGCATGAGAAATACGGTTGGCTTACCTTACGAAGCGGCTTTCTAGACAGACTCGCTGAGAGCCATACGTGAATAGGACCAGTTGTGCGCATCGCTCCCAATGAGCTGCACATCAAAGATGGTCAAGACATTGCCTAAGGAGCCGGCACAATGCTAACTGTTCTAGTCAACTTCCACGAGACTCTCTACGCAATGGGGGTCAAAAGAAACAAGGTGCCTTACATGATTGATATATTCGGGACAAACCTCGCCATATTCGGCACCGAGCAGCATGATCTGCATCGTACGAGGAGAGCTGCACTCAATCCGTTCTTCTCAAAACGATCCGTCGCCGGGCTCGAGTCTATCATTCAATCAAAAGTGCGTCGCATGTGTGATCTGCTCAGCGACTATGAGGCCAGTGGAAAGGTACTGAAGGTGCAGCACGCTCTTACGGCCACTATCGTCGACATCACAAGTGAATATTGTACGTTCGGCCTACAGAAACTCCGCGTCCCAGGTAATACTTCCTTTTCGAATATGATTTCTAACGGATACAGCATTTGGAAAATGCGCGGCTGCCCTCGATGAACCTGATTTTGGTCCGGACTGGGATCAGATGATGCGAGGAGTCTCAGAGGTAGTCCCACTTGCTCGCTCTTTTCCGGGCATTGTCCAAGTAGCCCAAGGAATACCGATTCGTCTTGTGGAGCTTGCGAATCCTGTGCTCGCAGCATATTCACGTTTTGAGCAGGTCAGTCTGGCCTCATCATAAAGCTTGTAGCATGTTCTCCCTCCTTTGTACTCAAACATTCGATACGATAGGCTCAAATTGACCTTGAATGTAGCTTGTTCGGGTCCAAGTTGTAGAAATTTTCAATCGATACCGGTTATCCGACGCTGAGTTCGACAACGTCTCCACGAATTCAACATCGCTAGAGAGCAGGGACAAAAAGCCTGATACTTCGACACGCTCCATCTTCCACGAAATCCTGAACTCATCCTTGCCAGAGCATGAAAAGACAGTCGATCGTATGACACAAGAAGCTCTGAGTGTTATCGCCGCTGCTAGCGAGACTACTTCTTCGGTCCTAAGTACGACTATCTTCCACATCCTCGCGAACCCCAACATCTACGCCCGCTTAAAGCAGGAACTCAAAGACGTCATCCCAGACGCAAAAGAACTCAGCGACTGGCGCACGTTAGAAGCTCTACCGTACCTAGTAAGCCCGCCTTCCGCCCCCCCTCCCCCCATTCAGTCAATCCAGCATCGCTCATGTTATCACAGACAGCAACAATAAAAGAAGGCCTCCGCATCACCGTCTCCATCTGCTCCCGGCTTCCCCTATCCTCTCCCGACAAGCCCCTCATGTACACCACCCCTTCCAGCTCCTCTTTTACAGCCACCTCACCAACCTCGCCCCAGAAAACCTACACAATCCCACCAGGCACCTACGTCGGCATGACGCCCACCGACCTCCTCCACAACCCCGACATCTACCCCTCGCCAAAAACATTCTGTCCAGACCGCTGGCTCGCCACAACCCCATCCCACCCTTCCCACCCACTGAGAACAAATCCTAAACTCATGGATGCAGCATTCCGGCCCTTCAACGCCGGGCCAAGGATGTGTATAGGGCTGAACCTTGCGTACGCGAATATGTACCATATCCTCGCCGCGCTGATGAGGAGGTGGGAGCTGGAGTTATATGAGACGGAGAGGGAGAGGGATGTCGATTTTGTGAGGGATCAGTTTGTGAGTAAACCTGGGAAGAATGGCAAGGGGGTCAGGGTGAGAGTTGTGGGGGAGAGGGCGTAGGGGTGGGGTGAGGGAGGAGGGGAGTGGGGATGGAGAGGACTGGGGAAGTAGAGGACTGGGGGAGGACGGGGGATACAAGCAGAACTTAGGCTGCCCTGTCCGAAAGGAGTGGTGTCTTTCTTACTCCCAGTTGCGACGCGAGTAGACTGAGACGATTACACGCGTGTCAGGAGTTCTGGAATCATTAAGAGTGGAAGCCGGCTCTTGTTTACCCCTATTTGAAAGTTTCTTGGGTAGCACTTTTGCCAGGAACCTCCAGATTTAACCAAAATAACTTTATTATCTGATCATTTACTGATTGACATGTGAGAAGATCTCTCTCTATTTCAATCACGTACCAATCACTCCTCAATCTCATCTTTAGAGCATGTTATCACGACTCAAATGAACGCCAAATCCACAGCGCCTCGCCAATCAGCAAAACCCAATTGACGCGCGAAGACCCAGTTGATATCAAAGCAAGACAGCCGCCGCTATGAAGCACAAACGATCCTCCATCACCATCATCCTCATGACTCTGCTACCACAGGATGCGAAGGCGACCTCCGTATTTGCACATCCTTCTGGACTCTTATCCCCGGCGAGCCCCTCAGCGCCTCCGTATCCTCCACCCCTAGGCTCATTTCCCTCTCATCCACCTCTTCATCAATAAGCGTCGGCGCCTGCTCCCCACCCCCAGCTTTCGACGCCGCCGTAGTATGATTCCCGTACACATTCTGCAACGGATACTCACTATCACTGATATTGCTGAACTGGCGCGGATTCTTCGGGTAGGAGAGGTATTGGCTGGAGGAGGAGGTGGTGGCTGTGGCCTTGGAGGATTTTATCGAGGACCGTACGCGGCCCAGGCAGCTGCTTATTGTCGGCCCGAGCGTGGGACCGCATGCTACCATCGCTGCCAAGCTGGGTTCGAGGACGGACCAGATCCAGCAGTCGACTGCGTCCCAGGTGTAGTCTTTGGTTGTGTTTAGTTGTACGAGGTAGATTATGCGGAGGATGGCGACTATGATGTCGCTGGGGGATGTTAGGGTGGGTCATTGGGATGGGATTTTGGTGGGGGAGGGGGGAAAGGGGAGACTCACAGGGTTCCCAAAGCGAAGACGAAACTCAGCCCGATCTTGTTTGTGGTACTGGTGTGTAATTTCCAGATCATGGGTAAGGGGAGACACATGATTGAGAAGTCGCCCACAATGTCGAGCGCAGCAATTGCGATGTAGGCTGGGATGCGATCACCGCAATGACCTTTCAGCATTGGATTCCAGTTCTTTGCAAAGGGGCGACACATGCATGCGCCGATGAGGATGGTCATTAGCATCCAGCAGACTTGGTAGCCTAGAACGATGCTGGCTGCGAGGCATGTCAGCATTCTTCTATGAGTGGAAGAGATTTTGGTAGTACCGCAGATCTTGAATCTTCTTGTGAAGAAGATCCGTATTAGCAGGAGGACGATCGATATCTTGATGAGTCCCAGTGATGTTCCGAATGAAAACTGAAGGGCCGAGAGAGTCTTGTATAAGTCCACGGCATTTTGTGGCTTTAGTGAAGCTTCGTGGTGCCCTACACCTCCGAGGTATACCGCTATCAAATGTGAGCACTTTGCTCTTTAGCTCTTTTCACGCGACATACAAGCTAGGATAATGGCAGTGTGTCCCCAAACGGGCAACTATTCAGATGGTCAGTGTGTGGTCAGGATCAACTCCTCGTCTGAATCATTACATACCAACGCCGCCAGGATGAACCAGTCATCAGCGCCATAAACGCTTTTGGTGAGCTTCCTCGAACCAAATCGAGCCGCTACAGCGAAGGTCGCAAGCACGGGGAAGATCCAGGACACTACGACAATCGCAGTCGAGCCAGTATTATTCGCCGGCACATAATCTCGTGAGACAAGCATCGCGCAGGTGTTGACATTGGCAGGTGAAGCACTTCATTCATCGCTGGAAGCACATACGAACTTCTCAGCTGAAGACACAAAGTCTCCGCGTTCTTTGCGACAACGCAATTAAGCATCATCTAGTCAGCACACCACGGCACTTCAGATGTAATAATGCGCGAAGCTTGTAGCGGCTGGTCGTGCTGCAGGATTACCACCGTGGGCCAAGAGATCGGAAAGCGGACCTAGGGAAGGTACATACCTTGTACCACCACCAGAGTAAGCGATCTGCAAGAGGTGGCCAGTGAGCATCAGCCAGGGCGGCACTATGCATCCGAATGCAGGAAGTAGCCGAGGACGGTGCATGATGTCTGGTCCTTCGGTGCTTGGCCGCACGCTAATGATGCGAGTAAGAATGGTGTGGAGAAGAGTGGTAGCCCGGCTGGCGTGTAAGGGACTTGCAGCTGCATGTCTTGTGTCTTGTTACAGCGCTGCATGGGCAGTGCTATTATTGAGGTGATTTTTGGACCGACGGAAAGACTTGCTGCCTATGGCACGCGGTCTCATCGCCATAGCAGCTGTCATACTCCATATACTCTGGCGTAAACTGTCAAAGCGGGATTCATGTCTTCGTGCCGCGCCCCATCCCATCCCATCCCTTTCCGGTGTCAGTCCGGTGTCAGAAGCAAGCCACATGTGGGATACCTAGCCTTCCTAGCTCGCCGCCTTTACCTTCTCCGTCTTACGCCGGGCCTGTTGCAGGTCATCTGTCGATCTTTGTATCTCATTGATTATTGCAGGAGACAACAGGGTCATGTCTAAATTTAGGACTGCCCCGCCATCGCCGATATTAGCTGCAGGTATTTTGAAGGCCGACGCTCTACGCGGTAGCCCTCTTCAGAACAGCCTGGGCATACTAAAACTCTGTTTAAATGCGCTGAAAAGATAATATGATCATTAGCTTTCTGATCAGGGTTTGAATGAGTAACAGACCTTGGGACGGGGGCCCCTCGGGCGCGCGTTGCTAAATGCCAAGCTTTTGCAGCTCGGGACGGAGAAACTTTTTTCCAACGATAGGAACCTGCGATTGACGGAGAAAGGTTTTCTCCGGACCGATGTGCAGGAAAGATAGACATTGAGCCATCGAGCTGTGGTTCACTATGCGCCTGATCAATACAAACTCGTTAGAGCTCGAAGAGTTCTTTGATAGCAAGATTCCCGAGTATGCAATATTGTCCCATCGATGGGGCCAGAAAGAGATATCGTTCAAGGAATTCCGAAAGGACAAGACACCAGATGACGCAGGTAAATCGAAAATCATCCGATGCTGTGCGTTGGCAAGGACGCGTTCGATCTCATGGGTCTGGATAGACACCTGTTGTATTGATAAGAGAAGCAGTGCTGAGCTGTCTGAGGCCATCAACTCTATGTATCGCTGGTATCAGAATGCGAAGGAGTGTTATATCTACCTTTCTGACGTTGTATTGCCTGGGAAGTGCCTACCGTCAAGCAATGATGCGTCGTATCAGCAATTCCACGAGTCGTTCAGACAGTCCCTATGGTTTACACGAGGCTGGACCCTTCAGGAGCTTTTGGCACCTCGCAAAAGCTTCTTTTTCGACTCTGATTGGGAAATCATCAGCAGTCAAGAGGATCTTGTCAGTGATATTGCCGAAGCGACGGGGATCTCTCGTGAGGATCTTGAATCCGCTGATCTCAAGAGTGCAAGTATTGCACGAAGAATGTACTGGGCCTCGAAAAGAGAAACGAGTAGGGCAGAAGACATGGCTTATTGCCTACTTGGTATCTTCGACATCAATATGCCACTATTGTACGGTGAAGGAATTGAGAAAGCCTTCAGGCGGCTTCAATTAGAGATCATCAAAGACTCGGATGACGAATCAATATTCGCTTGGTCAACAAAAACAAGGAATACAAGCATTCTCGCGCCTGACCCGGGCTGCTTCATCAATTCCAGGGACATTGTCTCATTTTCAAATTACAGGGCTAATATCGGCAGACCATTCTCAATGACGAACAGAGGGCTGGAAATGAACGTGCCAGTGGAATATCTTTGGGAACATCCTACATTATTCGGTAATGCGCTCTTCCTGAACTGCGGAAAGCTTCCTCCCAACGGCGTCACAGGAGAAACATTCCTTGTCAGCATCCGTATTATATTCGATAGTCAAGTTTTCTCCGGAAATAGTCTATGTTGTCGCCGAGCCAACTCGAACAATTTAGAATTTCAAAGCCCACCGGAAACAACGTTTGAACTTTTCCAGAAAAGAAAACACCTAACCATTTACGTGTGCGAACATTCAGGAAATTTCGATTATTTCTTGACGAACAAGGCAATACGCCAAATGGCAGAGGAACAGAAGTAGCGAGGACGAGAAACTATCCGAAACCTCCATTCGGATATTGACGTAACATCATCAGGTATGCAACAAACGATGCGGATCATGCGTGAACCCATGCCGCAGGTCATCTAACAAGCAGCAACGTGCATCGAGAAGCGAAGCCTCAGGCCATAACGAGTATGTCATTCCTTTCCGGTGTCACAAACAAGCCACCGGTGAAATATGTAGCTCGAGGCCTCATATCATTCGGGTCCAACTCGGCGTCTGTTGCAGGCCAACTGCAGATCGAGTGGATAATTATCTTCATATCTCTCTTGATTGATTGACTATGTTTCAAGGACATTTGGTCGAGTGAAACAACGGCAAGGTTATTTCGCTCGTTTTCAGCTCGCGTCTGAGAGTTGTTCGCAGAATGTGAGCTAGGGGGCCACGGTGCTAGGTTTGTCTCTATCATCACTTCTCCCTTCCGCTTCTTCTCTCGTCTACCTACAATTTGCTGCTTTCTTCTGCGACGATCACAGCCTCGAGCTTACATGAGTTGCAACGCCTCCAAAGCAGCTCTGCAGCCTCATCGCAGCGATTAACGGTACATGACGCAAAAGACTCACACGAGCCTTGATGACAAAGGAAGGGTATAGGTTGCAGCCAAAGCCATCCCCTCACTCGTACTTGGTTGAGAGCGGTTGGATGCTGGAGGTCCTGGCATGGATCTTAGCAGTAGCCGCCCTCGTAATACACTGGTCAACGTTTTGACCACAATCGCCATCGTCGCCCTTATCTTCCCGGTAGCCTCGAGTATCGCTCAAATGAGATAGATATGGCTAGCAAAAGGTCAAGCCCCTGTTACGGACATTGAAAGCTTTGATTCCAGGCCGATCGACAACTATGCAATGCTTTGGGGGCGTCCGACCATGTGAGTGCTATGTCGCACAAGTCAATCTTGGTTGCTGTTATTGACTCTCCTTGCGCTCCGTGCACATTTTGCAGCTCTCCATAAGTTTTGATCATATTTTTTTAGTCCCAATACTGAGGCAACTCTCGATTTGTCTGGGTCTGTTGCGATGACAACGGTATACAATTGCGACCCTATCAGGACAGCGCACCTGTACGTATCATACGTTTCACACCAAATGAATTGTCCTGACTTTCATGTCAGAATGTTAGCTCTCCACCCAAGAAGACCCAGAGTAGGTTCAGAAAACAGATGCCTCCAATGATTCAAATGCTTACCCCATGCAAGCGGCAATCACCTCTGCTATAACCGAAGCTCCTGTCGATCCTTCGGATGTGAAAGCGACTGTTCATCCGGTGACTGTACATTTCCAATTTGCGAATCGATGGGCATCTGCTCGAGAATAGACGACTTCACTTCAACGATCAAAATGGAACGTCATGACCAAGACATTGGTCGTGAAAATACAGGTTCATACTCCGTCGCTGACCACAAGAAAACCACTACCTGGCGCCTAGATAATCTTACGGAAGCAGGGAAGTTTTGTTTGTGGGTAGGTGCCAGTGACATGTTAATGGATGGACCCCATTGTCCTGATCTCATTTCATTGGACATATGTAATGCGATTAACATCCCGGATCTACAGGCCTTCACCTGGCTTGGTCCCCGACACAAGAACCACACCACAAAATTTGTAGAGACGAGTGGAGCGGCCGCTTTGACATGAAAAACAATGCAAAAGGACATTGGCGATAATCCAAGCTCGGCCATCTCGACTTTGCGTGGAGGAAAAGAGTACTAGATCAGCCAGCATTCTTTGACTGCATTTCTGACATGCTTTTCCCTAGAGATACTCCACGCAGACAGTCAAGTATTGACTTCGTAGACTCTCTAAATCTATAATGTGAATATGTGTCTCTCAGGTTCCCATCTGAATTTAGCTACCCCGCAGTCGTCACGACTAGCTGCATATGAATTTCGGAGGCCGACAATTCGCGGGGTAGCTTCCATTACTTTTTTGTCTCTTTCACACTTGCTTAAGAATTAGTCAAGGCATCACTAGAAGGCACACTACGTCTTCGCGACATGGCTGACTACCTCATCATCGGCGGTGGCCTAGCAGGCTGCGTACTCGCCTCACGACTCAAGGAATATGAGCCAGCTTTGAAGATTATCATTATTGAGACTGGTCCAGATGCAACGGAGAACCCGCTCATCACAGAGCCCATGGGCACGATGCAATTACATAACAGCCCATTTGAGTACAACTACAAGACCGTGCCACAGGAACATTATGATGGAAGGGAAGTCTTCCAAGCGGGCGGAAAGCTACTCAGCGGTTCTTCTGCTGTCAACTACGCTGCTTGGACTCGGGGCGATCGTGCTGACTACGATCTGTGGGCCAAACTTGTTCAAGACAAGCGGTGGAGCTACGATGGGCTCCTTCCATACTTCCGAAGGACAGAATCTCACCATGACTCCAACGTTGATCCACACCAACATGGCTTCTCAGGACCCATACACTCTACACCTGCACTAGACCGCACGTACCCTCTGACTGCTCAGTTGAAAGCTGCCTATGCTACTATCGGCGTCAAGCCAATACCAGACCACAACGGTGGAGACAATAAAGGCATGGCCCCACATATCGAGAATTGGTTCAAAGGCAAAAGGCAGCCAGCAGGAAAGGCCTACAATCTTAGCGGCATCGAAGTCCAAACAAACAAGACTGTCAAAAGAATCACCCTTTCACCTTCTTCAAACAACAGACCCAAAGCTACGTCTGTCGAGCTCGATAACGGCGAAACTCTTACCGCGTCCAAAGAGATCATCCTCTCATGCGGCGCCCTTCACACCCCTCAACTCCTCATGCTCTCAGGCATTGGTCCTTCCGACGAACTAGCCAAGCATAACATCTCTTGCCTCGTTTCTTCCCCTCATGTCGGCAAGAACCTCACGGACCACAGCTCCCTGACCCAATTCTACCGCATCAATCACCCAGAACGAGGTCTCTGCGCCCCAAATCCCGCGTTCAACCACCCCTCCTTCATCGAAGGATTTCCGACCGATTATATCATCGCCGAATCAACACCCACGCCCCTAATAAAAGCGGCCCTCGCCACCGACCTTAACGTTCCCGAGACCGAGATAAGCGACACCCATTCACACATCTCACCCCCTCGCTCGCATTACGAAATCCTCCCTATGTACGCACCAACCGAAGTGCCCCTCACAAACATGGGCATCCCCTTCGACGGCTCTATCATCAGCATTGGCATCCTCAACCTCCTCCCCACCTCTCGCGGCTCTATAACTCTTCCCCCTCCTTCCAACCCCGATGAAGCCCACGCAATCACGACCCCGCCTCTCATCGATCCAAATTACTATGCCACAGCCACCGATCGCGCAATACTTCGCTCCGCAATCCGCCGTAACATCTCCGCTTTCGAATTGTTGATGCAGGGCGATGATCCTGTGGTGGAGGCTGAGGTGCCGCCTCCAGGCTTTCCACAGCTGACTTCGAAGAGTACGGACGAGGAGATCGATGCAAGGGTTAGAAGGTGCGCGGGGACGTTCTACCATGTTAGTGGGAGCTGTAGTATGGGCAGCGGAGGGGGTGAAGGAGGAGGTGGAAGGGTGGAAGGGGTGGTGGACTCCGAATGTAGAGTCCTTGGGGTGGACGGGCTCAGGGTCGTGGATGCGAGCGTCATCCCGACCCCGATTAGCGCGCACTATATGGTGGCTGTATATGCCCTGGCGGAGCAGATGGCAGATATAATTGCTGGCAGAGCTTGATGTATATCCCAGAGGCGGCCATGGTGATGAAGAGTATGGATGGGAAAAGAGAAGAAATGCCTAGCTTTTGAGGGCAAGAGCGATTGATACAAGACTAAAGGGGATCAAGGGAGGACATAGCGAGGAGGGAGAAGATGCATGGGAAACTAGAGATATGCCTTGCTGGATATAGCAAGCTTTGACTCGGGGTAACGACGTTCTTCGGCCAGTAGATACGGCTAGCATCCAAGCTCTGATCTAGCAGAAGCACAATACAACTACTTGAAAGTAAGGACACGGATACCAATGATCGTTCATGTTCGGAGGCCCTCCACATTATCGGACGCTGTCGACCGCTAATTTCGAACTCGGTTTCTCTCTTAAAGCCAACATTCTTGGGACTGACTAATTAGAGTAATTAAAAACCTTACAGTCTCGGCTGGATCCATTCCGTTGCCCACAAGGCTGACGATGAGAGGAATCATGATGCTACTCGGGAGAGACCGGTAATCTTCCAGGGAGAAACCCTGACTGTAGATGCCCTATAGCTCAAGGACGCCTTGGATCTGATCAGAGATCTCTGCGTTCACCCGTAAGTCTTGGTCATGGCTCAGGATGAAGCACAGCGATCCCTCTGGAGGAGATCAGATCAGTGAGAAGATTGGATGATACTCCAGTTGCGATGGCAGCCTCGACATATGAGCACGCCACGGATATGAATCAACCTGCGAGTGCAGCAGACGTGACGGCTCAAGTCACGAACCAACAGACTAATTCGCCAGCTCCTAGCCCGCCAAAGTCGACACAATCTCTTCTAACTCGCGCGAGATCAGTCGTATGGCTTACTAATTTGAGCTTCGTGTTACTCGGTGTCCTCATCGCATACATTTATGGCAAAATTGCTCAACGACAGGGCGATAGAAGCTTGAAAGCTGTGCTATATGGTGATTGTATCGATCATGCTGTACGTCTTCTCCCTCTCATTAAAGGATAGACTGGAGCTTGGCTGCGCAGAGAATAGACCGTTGACAGCCTTATCAAGATATTCTGGGTAATACAACCACATGCAAAGAGCTTCTTGCTAAAGGCTTCGACTCTCTTCAACGACGTGATGTGTCTGGGCATCATAAAGAAGCCTTGAACACGAATCCAGGTGAAGATCCAGTCGAAATAATCTATATGATTGCTGAATCGATGAGAACAGCTTGGCACACCTTTCTCATCAAATGGGTTCATCGACCAACCGCCCGTTTTCTTGACCAATTAGTCAGATTATTGCATGTCGTGTCTAGTTGGTCATCGAGCACCTCTCTTCTTCAATCAAGTGCTGTTGTTAGTGGATCAGTGGCCATCCTGGCCAAGTTTACCTATCTACTCATTTTCACTACATATTTGGCTATTGCCACCACTTTCATGCTCTATATTATTACGATCTTAACCACTTCCCTCGTAGTGATATGGACTTATTGGTGTTAAGGGCTTAGCACATATCGCAATCTCTTATATATAAATGTAAATACGCTTTAAAAGGGGAGGATTAATATACAGCGTTGCTTACGAGCTATTAAAGAGTGTTTTCCTGCTAAGATAGAGTTTCTCTCCTATCTTTATTGTCTCCATCGCATGGGGCCTTAGATAGCTGCAAACTAAGTAGACTTCTGACACATACTTTAAGTTTACAGCACGGTCCTCAAGCTTGATGAAGGAAAGTTACCTTTATCAAATAGTGCTTTGCTACAATGTATCTCAAATGATCTGTCATAGGCAATATTTTACTAGTAATGCTTCAAAGCAGCATGAACTCAAGACAAACAAGACACTCATTCCTCGAACCTGCCTGACTCATCGTTTGGACCGCGATAGCGTTAACAGGAAGAGGGAATCGATCATTTGGGGTCAATGATCGAGAAGGTGTGACACAGCTGAGCGGTAACATCATGACCAAACGCCACACACCACGAAAGCGATGACGTGGAGTAATCCATGATCTGCAATATAATTGCGATTGCTGCAGTGGATTTAGATTACAACTGGCCGAAATTGTCTAGGTGAAGATCAAAGGTTTGGTAGTGAGTGCAATCGATGCACAAGAATTTGACACACTGTTATAGGTGAAGAACTTGCCCAGTGATTTGATATCGCCTATGCTCTGTGAGCAGCTCGACACCAGATAAGTGCCAGAAAAGAGGCCCGATGATAGATGCTATGGCCCGAATGACTTCTAAAGGATTCTCGTACGCCTTGATTTATAAACTTTGAATATTGCGAAAATCTCACTTTCAATGGGAATAGAGCACGAGACGTTGTTGAATGAAAAGAAGGCCTTCAACAGATTTGAGGCATTTTCCTTCCCACGTCAAGTTAAACCAGACGAAAAAGCCTCCAATGCATCGAAAGGCATCCCGCAAGTTCAAGTTCTGGGCCATCTTGCAAGTCAAGCAAGCACAGTCTGCCCTCAAGTAGTGAAGAGACTGGCCGAAACATACTGCGAGTGAGATGGTTCTAGCTCTCAAATCACGCCTGTATTTCTAATTTTGGTATTCCAGAGCTGGAACCAGAAACCGAGGTTAACCTAGCGAGGACTATTGCATTGATCGTATCGTGGATGTTGGTGGAGTAGGGCTGTTGACGAATTAGAGTCACTAACCCTGACTCAAGACGCCCCATCGACCATCTAGCCACCACGCCTAACTACTTCTGTCCCACCACCAAGCCACGTTCTGTATAACCTCGTGTCTTACCCGATAGAGCATAGATCCCACAAGTCACCAACCTTATAGTCCAGCCTTCAAAAGTCTAGATTAAGCCACAAATATCACCTTCACATACCACCCTTACAACAAAGCAATGCTACCTCGCCGTCCGTCCGTCCCTCGCCATCGCTCCCATATAACCCTCGCTCCTGCCCCCCATCCCCTCCTCCCCCTTTCCTTCCCTCCCACAACCACCACCTACCACTTTCCCCCATCGCCCCCAATTATCGTCCACACAAACGCAAACGCACACAACCTAAGAACAAAAAAATCCATGTCTCTCACACTCCTCCGCCTTACCCCGCTCCTCCTCTCAACCTCCACCCTCACATTCGGCCTAACGCACGACATCTTCTTCCGCGCCTTCACCTCCCCTTTCCCCTCCTCCCTCGCCTCCCCCTCCTCCCCCCACTCATCCACTATCACCACCCACATAAACACCATCCTACCCCCCTGGACCGCCATCTACATATCGCGCGCCGTCTGGTACATCTTCACAATCTACCCACTCACGCTCCTTTCCGCGATATTAAACATCTACTCCACCAACTCCACCAACTCCACCAACGAAGAAAGGAAGACGTTTTGGATCGGGGCGGCGTGCACATTAGGACATTTCGCGTTCGCGAAGAAGGCGGTGGGGCTGTTGGTGGCGATTAGGGACGGTGGGGAGGATGAGCGGAAGGGGGAGGGAATGCGAGGGAGGATTTGCGCAGTTGGGTCAGGTTGAATGTGTGGAGGACTTGCACGGTGGATTTGGTGGCGTGGGTGTGTTATTTGGTTGGTGCGCTGGGGGGGTGGTAGGGGGGAGGGAAAGGGGGTTGGAGGAATGGAAGGATGGAGGAAAAAGGGATGGGGCTTGAGAGTGGGAAAGGGGAAGTCGTTGTGTGGGCGAGGTCGGCTATTTTGGTATTGTGTTACAAATTGATTGATCGTTTGGTCTGTCCGTATTTTGAAGCTGGTGTGAACATTTCTGAGGGCTTGTGATGCTGTCTTGATTTCGAGTTGGGATTTATTGTGTTGAGTCATCCGGTTGTCTTACGCGTCTAGTGTTGGCTGATGTTAGCGTTTTCGCTTTGCCACTGTAACTTTATATTATATTTCTTTTTACTTATTAGGGGCTGACTCAATGTCTATCTACTCGGGTATCGATTCCAATCTACTGACTTCCTTCCATCTGCATTTGAAACTCAATGCTACTCTCTATCCTAATATCGCTTTGAACCGACTCAATAGCCGGTCATCATAGGCACTTCTCTCATACCCCAAATTTGTGTTTCATCGTAGCGTCTCCCGTGGAAACTATAAACAAGAGGAGGATACATGTAGGATTCATGTACTTCTTGTGGTGAAGCGGGATGAAAGGCACCATAACTATGAGATTGCGGACGTGGTTGGGAGTTCTGTACATCCTGTGATGGAGCGGGATGAAAGGCACCTGGCTGCTGTTCATTGAACTAGTATGTCAACAATGTCAACCGGAATTTCAGGTCAATTTGTCAATCTTACCGGGCCATATATATGTGACATGTTATTCAGAGTCCGTCTTTGCTCCTCTGTCGTAGTAGTCATACAGGGACTCACGTACTCTACCTGCGTTTTCCACTCCTGGCACTCCGAATAATATTCTTGGTTGAAGTATTGAGGACATGGTGCCGGGCGCATTTGTTCGTAGCTCGACGTAGGAGGGTCGCCAATGGTCTGCGGCCGCTCTCTGTCATTCGCAGCCGCATAGCCCGGCCATGAAGTATGCTGACTATTGACACATGGGGCTGTACATGGTATATATGGGTCAAATGGTGCAGATGACAGAGACAGTGTAGATGCTTGACATGGTGGGAATGTTGCAGGTTGAATAGATGGCGAGCATCTTGGAGATCGTGCGTGTTGCGGCTCACCTGGAAGTGAAGCCGATTGCGATCGACTGTTTCTGGATCGCAAATTCTTGGGCCGTACTGGCGGACTTGAAGCTGGATCCAACAGATATGACTGCCTTTCAGCAGATACGGGATCTGCGCCAGGGACGAATTGTGCTGTAGATGCTTTGCGCTCCTGGTGGACCTCCATATCTCCGCTGTGATATGGCTCTGTCACATCCATACTCTTCTCTTCAATCACTGTCTCTGATGTCGGGGATGAGCCAACGTTCGAGCTCCTCGAACGACTAGTTTTCTCAAGATCATTACTTTCCCCCTCTCGGGACCCAGATTCCTTCATGTCCAGAATCCGGGATGTTATCACCACGAGCGAAAGGAGGAGCAAGCAAAAGATGAGACTGAAATCAAGGACCAGGTCAAGAAGTGATGATACATCGTCTGTATTTCTAGTGAGTATCGGGTTGTGGCAGACGACCAGCCAGGTATACGAGACATATGCGGCGACAATGGAGAGTATTAGGAAGACCTTCGCCAAAAGATTGCTCCAGTCCATGTTGGAGACAGGGTACTCGGATCTAGTCAACTTTGATAATGTCGTCGAGGAGCTTCAAGGGAGATATTGGCCATGAGTGTGAAAGAGAAAATGAACGAATCAGAGCAAGAATTTAAATACAGAAGCAGTGTGTGAGTGGAGTTCTCGGGTCGAAGTTCCGAGAACTTTCTCGAATCATGAAAATAGAATTTGTGTAAGTTCTGGCTTGAGAGGCTGATCGCGTCACCTTCACATGAGAAGCCATTTCCAAGCGGCCTTGCCTGAATGTCTTGTTGATCTATTACAGATTTGAAAAATTACTTCCTTCGAGTGTATATGTCGGAGTCCTTGAATGGCCCTCTTTAGGAGAATAGAGGCAGAACTAGAAATGGAACGCACATCGTCCCACGAATAAATCTTGATAGTTGTGTCCAAGTACAACAAAGCCTATGACCCAATTGAACTCAATATGAAGTCATCTGCTCTTGTAGTCATTTGCATGCCACATTGCTTGAACAATTCGATGCTTTCAGAAAAGAACCAGGAACGTGGAAGGTGTAAAACCCCTTTTTTCAACACTGCCACACTTTAAAGACCTGGTAGCGCCACAACCTAATTCTTGTCTTTTAGCCACAGAACAAATTTCCAAGAAGTGTGCGCAAGCTCATATAGAGTTGGGTTTTATCATATAATAGATTGATTGTCTAGCAAGCTGTCTAGATACACAGCGTGGAAGCAGAGGGGGATGCCAAGCCGGTTAGGGCTGCGCTAGGCTCAATTGGGTGATCCGACTGATTGGAGCTCCTAGAGGCCATGCTAACAAGAAGTATCCTTTACTCAACGCAAGGCAGGGATTGATGTACCAAGCTCTACACCTCATGGAAGACCCCAAACACCAACAGCAATGATGAACGAATACACTACAGCGCCCTCATAACACCTCTCTCCCTGTCCTAACCAAGACAACCTCACCTCAACCGGTACAATGGCATCAAAGTAAACCTCCCCATCCCTTCCTCAAGAGCACAAAAGCAGCATCACTGACAGACACCTCCTCAACAGCCGCTTCGGCACCTCAACCCTCCACCAACGCGACCCCCGCTCCGCCCTCTTCGACTCCTACACCGGCGACCGCAACCGCACGACCAGCGCCTCACCAGCCGCACGCCCAGGCAGCGGAACAAGCTATGGCTACCAAGCGCAAGGCAGCGGGATGCAGAGTGGATCAGCGGGGATGGGAGGCTACAGGGCAGCTACGCCGAATTCGAAGTATGTGGTATCCCCCGCTCCCTTGGCTAAGAGGGGAGGCGCTTCTGTTCCTGCAAGACCCACACCGTCGCGGTTTGGCCAGGATCAAAGCCAAAGTATGCAAAGAGGAATTAAGCTGACACTATCATGGTGACGCAGAGGCCAATACTCCGACTCAACGCTCTCGTCGCTCGAAGACCAAAACGACGCCGAACTGGCGGGCATATCCGGCAAAGTGAAAATGCTGAAGGAACTCACGGTCGCGATCGGCGATGAGATCAAATCGTCCTCGTCGCTGGCGGATAGTATGAATGATCGATTTGATAATACGAGGGTGAGGTTGAAGGGGACGATGAATCGCATGTTGAGGATGGCGGATCGGACGGGGATTCCGTGGCGGTATTGGGCGCTGTTCTTTTTGGCGGTTGGGGGGTTTTTTTGTTGGGTCTGGTTGTTTTAGGGGGAAGGGGAGGGTGGATAGGGGGAGGAGGGGAAGAGTGAAGGGTGGGAAAAGGGACGGAAGGGAAGGGAAGGGGAGGGGTGGAATGGGAGTGGGAATGGGAAGATGATGACTTGCATAGCGGTATGGCGTTTTCGGAAGATGATAGAGTAATGGAAAGGATCTAAGGTCTGGTCACGTCTTTATCGAGAAGGTATAGAAGGTTTCAGGGAGGTACACATACATCGTGGCGCAAGAAAGGATTCAAGTCATTGACATGGCGAGCCGGTCGTTGCGTCTCCTAACAGCCATAGTAGGAGGACCATGCATGGGAACGCTTTGCAAAGAAGCAACACCGTATACGGGCATGGTTGCTGAGCATAGTGAGCCCAAGCATCAGGTACAGCCACATAGTTATCCTGATTCAAGTTCCCGGGGTATCATGCAATTCTCAACTTTCATAACTCATGTCCGCCTTCAAATACCTGCAGACACACCACTCAATTCTCCCTCCCCCGTCCTCGTCGCCCACTCCCTCTCCTCCGCCCTCCACTCCCCCTCACACCCACACTGCCTTCACTAACCACCCTCTCGACCCTCTCAACCGCCGCATCCCCCAACGGACTACTCCCAAAAACACTCTCCCCCAAAAAGCTCCCGCCACCCGTAGTAAAACTGGCACTCAGACTCCCCCGTCCCTGCAACACGTCATGCACCACGTTGCCAGCCTGCCCACTCGGTGTCCTGAACTGCGCCTGCTGTAGTCCCCTCAACCCGCCCCGTCCAGTCCCCGCTCTCTGCCCATTCGCACCCTGCCCCTGCGCGACCCAACTGACTTCCTCCTCGCTCTCATCCTCGAGCGACGTATCGGTGTGTTCGTAGCTCCCACTCTGTGCGTCTGGGACATCATCATCTAGATCGGCCCCAGCCCCTGCCTCTTCCGCTCCCCCAAACCCAGCCCCGACGCCATAACCTATGACCCCGGCCATAGCATCCCCTGCAGGTGTACCCATCGCTCCCGGCGTGCGCGGTGGTATCCTCATTCTCGGCCTTTGCGCCCCTTGTTGTCCTCCTAGCGTTATTACCCTCTGAGCACCACCCACGGCAGCCGCAGGCTGAGTAGCAACAGCATCAACAGCATCAACAGCATCAACAGCATAATCGCCCTCCCCCTCATCCCCACCAAAAATCTGCTCTCCAAACAACAACCCCCTCCCCTCTCACTATCAGTATCAGGTTCCAAATCGCTATCACTCCACAACCCCCTCTCGCTCCCCCTTCCCCATCCCCATCCCCGTCCTCCCCCTCGTCCTCATCACTAAGATCCCCATCCATCCCCAGCCCCACCCCGTCCCCCAATCCATCAGCATCCGCGTCCGGCACATCCTCATCCAAATCCCCCTCCATCCCATCCATCCCCTCCTCCCCATCTCCCTCAACAACTTCCAACCCCTCCATCATCCCCTCCTCCTCCATCGCCAACCGTGCCTCTTCGCGCGCGCGCAGCGCTTCAGCTTCTTCCCTCTCCATCCTCTCGTCTTCGAAGCCCTGCAGGGTTTTGCTCACGCCGGGCGGGCGCAGCCAGCCGGCGCCGAAACGGCGGATGTTTTGTTTGCGGAGGAGGAGGAGGCGCTCGTCGTGGTGGAGGGTTGGGTAGAGAGGGGGTTGGGAGGGAGGGGCGTGGTGGTGGTGGTGGTGGTGGTGGGGATGGGAGGGGTGAGAAGGGTGGGAAGGGTGATTGACGTGGGCGCCATGGTGGTGGTGAGGGTGAGAGGGGTGGCCGGTGTTGTTGGCGCCTTGGGTTGTGAATGCTGGCGTGTGGGAGAGAGGGTTTTGGTTGTGGGGGGTTGTGAAGGGGAGGGTGTGAGGCTGAAGAGGGTGGTTTAGTTAGGGAGAGGCGGGAAAGCGAATTGAAGGCTTACGAGAGGTGGCTGTAGGGTGGGTAGGGACAGCATTGTGATGGTGTGAAAAATCAGTCTCGGAAGAGAAGATGGTTGTCAGTTTCGACGCTGTTTCTGTTTACAATATCAATATTTGCTCCCTCGATGCCCGGCGGTCCAAAACCCCATTCACCCAAAAAGGGGCGAGTGATATTCATCAAGGGATTGAGACGCTACGAAGTGAGAATCGCCGTCCAGATCTGACGAGTCAGGCGTGTTAACCGAAATCCGGCAAATTGTATCTATAGCACCAAGTCATATACCCATATACACACAATCATCACGCTACATAAGCCCATTGTAGGATGTCGTGATCTCATGAGACTCCAGCCGCCCCGCCCTCCATCTATCAAAACAGCCCCGTACTATACCCCCTCCTCCCGATCCACAAGTCTGCGTACTGTAGCCCTCTCAAATTAGCACCACCGCAACCCTACCTAATCTTCCTCCTCTTCGGTGGACTCGCCACGCCCCCAACCCCTCCATCTCCATCATCATCCTCAACAGTAGCTACGGTATTCGGGCTCGTGGCATTACTACTTCCTACCTCATCGACCCTCAATCCGCTATCACCCTCCCCCTCCCCCTTCCCGTCTCCAACCCCATCACCAGCCTGAGGATCCGTCTGATCCCCAAACCCCTGATTCGAGAAGCCACCATCACCGCCTTGGCCGTTGAGATCGTCTCCGAAATTGAAATCGCCGAAATCGATGTTATCGCCACCATTGCCCTCTCCATTCTCATTCTGTCCGAAGTAGCTGTCGGTGTTGAAGATATTGTCGAGATCTAGCAGGTCCTGGTTTGGCGGGATAGAATAATCGCCCGGAGCGCCGGTATAGTCAATTCCGGGTATTGAGCCGCTCGGGCTTAGCGGAGTCAGTGTATTGGAGAGGGTGTTAATGTTGTTACCTTGTTCGCGGATGATCTGACCTAGCTGGTCGAGGTTGTTGCTCGTTTGGTCAAATTGGGCCTGCGAGGCCATAGGGGTGGAGGTTGTGGGGTAGGCGAGGGCGTTAGAATTTGGGGAATTGGATTCGTTGCCCATGAGTTGGAGCATGTCTAGTCTTCTGTCAGGGGAGAGTGGCGTGTTGCCTTGTGAGTTCTGGAGATGCGAGAGTGCTTCGGAGAAGTCCATTGGCGAGCTGGGGGAAAAGGCGTTGTTCTTCGCGTTAGCGTTGTTGAGCATTGACATGATGTCTGCTTGCGGTATTTGTTGCTGCTGTTGTTGATTGTTGTCGGACTGAGGTTTGATACGAGGGGATGAACTCCCAGAGCGGTCAGAGAGTTCTTGGACGGCGGGAGAATGGAGGGTTTGATCTTTCCTTGGGTAATCGTTGTAGGTCCGCATCTGTCGGTTGTACTGTTTCACCATGTCATCGACGCCCTTCTTGATCTTGCCGTCAGACGGAGTTTGTGCTGAGGCTTGCGGAGTTTTGCCATCCCCTAGAAGCAAAGGCGCTCTTCGAAATGGTCTTGGCGTACTGTTCTCCCCATGTTCTCGTACGTCACCCATATCAACGACATTGCCGCGATTCTGGTCATTAGAGGGTATTGAGCCTGGGAACATGTCGCCCAGCCCGCCCTGCTCTCCATTGAGATTCTTGCTGTAGACGGTCGCGAGGAAGGTCAGAATAGCATTGATAGAATTATCATGTTTCTCGTGTAGGTCATGAAAAGCTTTGGCCTGTCCGTACAAGGCTTGATGCTCTCTCCGAACGTCCAGAAGCATTTGCGATATTCGATTTTGGTTTGTCCGAATGGTCTGCAACTCCCTCTGAACACTTGCCAGCTGATCTTGGGGGAGGCCAGTAGGCTGATTCGATCCCATGGTTAACAAATTTTGCCTTCCGCCTCGAAGATCGTCAAAAGTGTCGAGGTTACCTGTAAAGGGACTGTGATCGCGTCCAAATGTCTCATCAATCTCTTCATCATATTCTTCGCTTCTTGACTTGTTCCCCTTTGTCCCTCCTTTCGGCCCTTGATTCTTGGGTTTCTGGATCAACCACAGCAGATTAGGCCGGCCTCGCTTGAAGTATGGATTTGAGTATTCACTCGGGTTCTTATTCTTCCTCTCGCTCGCCCTCATTGAATTGTCTGATAGTCCAACCTTCTTATGAAAGCCGTACATATTCAGCTGCCTAACGAATGAGGCATAATTGTTGTGTTTGAACATCTCGGGTATCATGACTCTTGCGAATTCGTCCTCATCTATTACTATGAAGGAGTCTCCACTTTCTGACCATCGAATGAGTTCGGTATTTCGTGACTCGTCCAGAAAGCTGTTAACATTAGAGGTGTAGTAGTCGGCAGAGGAGTGAATAATTACCTGCTCAATTTCTGAACGAATGGTGGGATTTGCTTTCGCTTTGACTCCGCATCCTTCTTCGCAGCAAGTGCTCTTTGGTCTAGGTCATCAGACTGCATCCCATTCATCTTTGTACCTTGCCCTGATTGCTCCGACACCTGCCATGACCCATTTCCCGCATTTGTGTAATTCGGTATTGGTATCACAGGTTGATTCGGTGTTCTTCGGGTAAGCTGATTTGTAGAGTTCGATGTCTGCATGGGTTGCATTTGAGTGTTGACTTCGGTACTCTGATTGTTGAAGTACTGGGGATCCGTGTAGGTGCCGTCTGTGGCATCCTGTCCTTGCCATCCATATGACAGATCTTGCACGGAAGGCACATTCAAGGACTGACTTTCTGGCTTTGGTTGCGGAGATGTACCTGGTGCTGGGCGTTTACGCGTCCGGACCTCCACCCCCATATTCTGGACGCCTTGTGAGAAGCAGCAATGCGCGATCGTCAGTGTCTTTCTCTTATTTCCAATCTGTTGAATGTAGCCCGGCAATTTCCCCACTCTTTTGATCAGAATGAAGGCGCTGGTAGCAGATGCACTCCAAGAGTCTAGTAATTTTATACTCCCTCCAAATTAGCTGCTTGCGAAAGGTTGTGTCGAGAAGGCAAGTGACGAGGCTGTCTGCGAAAGAATCAAGAAAAGGTCCTACGGCGGGGTATTTGCACAGCCGTGTTTGAGCCTCGAGAAGGGCTTGTTTTGAATAACTTGAGGCACCGATTGTTCACTGAGACAAGGTCCCGTGGGCGCCTGCATGAAAGCCCGGATGTTTGTGAGGTAGCTATTGATTGTGGTGCATGGGTTCGGGGTGACAGGGATGTTGGACCGCTGGGCTGTGCGGGCCGTTCCAATGCACTGTGAGTCGTGGGATCACTGTTTCTATATGGACCAGGGATTGAAGTTATATCGATCATCGAAGGGATCAGGCTTTCCAGTGGTGCCTGTGGAGAAGAGCTTGATAGTAGATATCATGGAAATTCAGCCCTACGTGCAAAGCTTGGCATTAGACACTAACTCCGAAGGTAGCAACTACAACTGCCACAGTGAGGTAAGGTCACTACCTTAGAGGCAACACAATATCAATCCTTGGCAACCTTTTCCCACTCCTACTTGATATACTCTGAGAGTGGCAGGAAGCCAATGAATATTCTAGGGGAGCTGTCCTCTACTTCAATGTCAAGATATCCATTAACCTTGCAGTACGTTGAATTCGTTGATTTTTCAATAGGATCAGTAACAGGACTAGATATCTTCCGTTCTTCTAGGCCCGATGGTCACTCCTTCACTCAAAAGTGGCCAATCTACCTTTCTTCTTCCATAGGAAATGAAGACATCTAGTGGAGTTTTCCCTATGTTAGACTTAGTATTTACGTCGTATCCACCCTCTAATAGCGCCGAGATCATAGTCGTATATCCCTTGACTGCTGCTTTGTGCAAGGCTGTTTCGCCTTTATTATCCTTCGCATCTGTATCGCATCCACCCTCAAGCAGCAAGCAGATGATGGTCTTATCTTTACCCCCAAAGCTGCTATATGTAAGGCTGTTTTGCCCTTCTTGTCCTTTGCATTTATATCACATCCACCCTCCAGCAGCAAGCGGATTCTGGTCTCATCTGTACCCCCACAAGCTGCTTCGTGTAAGGCTGTCTGGCCCCATTTGTCCTTTGCATTTATATCGCATCCACCCTCTAGCAGCGCCGAGATCATATTCGTATATCCTTTGGCTGCTGCTTTGTGCAAGGCAGTTTCGCCCCACTTGTTCTTTGCGTTCACATCAGCTCCGTTTTGTATTAGGACTCTGACGACACTATTCGACCCTGACAGAGCTGCACGGTATAATGCTGTCTCTCCGATGTAATCTTTAAAATCAATGTTTGCTCCATGTTTTAAAAGAAGCAGTACCATTGCTTCACTTCCCACCCATGACGCAGCCAGAAGGAGCGCCTCGTTTTTGGTATCTTTCTTAAAGTAACGAGCTTTTTCTAGTATGCATTGCATACTTTCTTTATTGCCCGTCCAAGCCGACATCTCTAACGCTGTCGACTCTACTCCTCCATCATTATTTATGATATTAATGTCTGCCCCCTTTTCAAGTAGCAATCGAATGATGTCTTGATGTCCTCCTCTTATCGCTAATCCTAGAGCTGTTCGGCCCTGTCCATCTTTTTTGTCGAGGTACAGTCGTTTCAGCTTTTCGGCGAGACTTTTTGGATAAAGTAACCTCTGTACTAATGGTGTAATACCGCACCAAGACGCAAAATGAAGTACTGTGCATGATTCTAGGGGCATGTCGAAAAAGGAAAAAGCAGGTGGGTCGTAAGTCCGAGCCCATGCCTCTCGCATTGGAGATCTCTTTTGATAAAAGGGGAGTGACATGTCAAAAATGCTCTCCGAGCTGGATAAAAACCTCGCGTGATCGGGATAGTGGCAAACAGCATATGAAAGGAATGGGAACTCCTTTCGTCGATCCTTGTCCATGTCGTTGTAGAGGGAAATAGGACCTTCTGCAAGAGCACCTTCTTGCGGGTAGTGAAAATATCTTCTCGCAACCTCAACGTTCGCGGCCTCTTTCTTCACCCGGAAAAATTCTAATTCGGGATTTGCATCGCAAGCTTCGCGTAACAGGTAGTCTTTGGCAGACTGGTGAATGAGACCAACTTTCTCTCCCTCAATCGTCAAGAAATATCCGCAGTATGATATCTGGTCCTTTATGAAGTCGTCACGATCGACGTAGGCTGAAGGCTTGGTCGGATAGTCGATTGCAGCCATTAGCTCGTACATAGTCAGCGGACGTACAGCCATAACAACCCAACGTAACATTTCAGCAACCATATCTCTTCTGCTGTTTTCGGTCTGAAGGAGGATCCGGGCGTATAGTTCATCAAGTTTTGATGGTATTTGGTTTAGAGCAGCCTCGACTTCGCTCGCTCTGTATCTCATCAATTCTCGTGCGACAATACCTACCCATAAGAATGTTCCTTGTGCGCGATTTCGAAAGACTTTCTTCACATAGGTAGTCAGGGTCTCCGAGTACCGCTTAAGTCTAGCGAGCTCGTTTATTTTCGCCTCGATGAATTGTTCAATATCTCCAGCAACTTCCTTTTCAGCGTCGGGATCTAAGCTTATACGAGGACGTTCTGACAGTATCTCGGGTATGATTCCTGGTAGATCTCGACTAACGAGGAAGAACTTGAAGTTGAAGATAGGTTGATCATCAATCATTTCAGAGCACAATGTCACAAAGCTTCGGAGAAGAGCTTCTACGGAGGTTACATCGCATTCATCGAGACCGTCTAAAATACAATATGTCGATCCAATAACAGGGTCAGAGATCATGTTTTTGAAAATTCTCCAAAGTGAATCAAATGCTGGGTTTGCAAATAAGGACTCTCTCTGTGTTTCGTAGCTCGGTAGGATATACTTAAAGAGTTTAGAGTTGGACTTCAACAACTGGAATATTAGGCCTCGAAGTACGGTAACGGCCGTTCTACGCTTTTCGTCCTTGTTATCGCAGAAATACTGAAGAAACATACTGTTGTCGAGAGATTCGGCCTTTCGTTCGAGCTCTTCCGCGAGGTAAATCGATAGCATTGTTTTGCCTTTCCCGGGGCCACCAGAGAGCCACAGCAGCTGAGAAGAGGTACGGAGCCAGGACGCATATAAGTTATGAGACTTGATCCATTCACACGTTCCTTTTACTCGTTTACCCTTCTCTCGGACAAGCTGGTCTCTATCGTATTGAGGATCGGTCAAGAAAAGGGCATTCATACAAGCGGCAGGTACGTCCTCCTTAGGGCCTGCCGAAACGTATGGTCAGTACAACGCGGGAATCAAAGGTTGAGAAGACCATTCTGTACAGACAACAGTGCGAGAAGCGCATAATGACGAATAATACAATATTTGAGATGTCGCTCAGTATGAAAATCTTTTTGGACGATGAATTAGTATATTTTAGTAGAGAGTTCAGCTGAGCACCCTCTCGACCTATTGCAAGCCTTGCAACAGGCAGCTTGTCCAACATCAGCACATCAAGTGATGAACTTCTGCTACTTTGTGGTTTGTGAAAGCAGTACAGACAGTATTGAAATCTGCGTAATTTGCAGCGTTGTGCGACAACGAAAGACTCAATCCGTACCAAAATGCATATCTCCGCTACCAGTGATATACTGCCGCGGATTTCCTTGGGCAATCTGTGTTCCTTGAGCATTATACTGGGTACCAGACCCACGGTTTATATTCACAAAACCCCTCTCTTCAAAGAGACTATCTGGGACGGAAGGAGGAGTTGGCGATATCTGTTGAATAGCCTCTGCAATGGCCTTCTGTTGGGATAACGTGGCGGTCTGTATACCTCGTTCGCAGACCAAGAGTTGTGTATCCTCCAGTATTCCCTTCATCAAGGTCTCCACCTCATTGCCTTTTCCATACGCTTTGACTGCCATGTAATATCTTTTCAGGTCCGGGGTCCCTTCCCTGGGTATGGCCTTTTGAAACAAGTTTCTCAGCCTTTCGGCCTTCTCTTCGCAAACTTTGGCGACATCTCTTACTCCTCGACAAGAATCTTCATCAACTTCATCGCTTCCAATGTTCTCTTTCACTGAGCTCAGAATGTTCTCGACAATCGGTAGCCGGCTTGCGACCTCGCGGAAGGCTTCGGGGAGGCCATGGGATTCCTTTGCGGTGCTGTAGATTTTCTGGGCTGCATCCACAATGGCAACGATAGATGAAACGACTCCGAGTACTGCGATGGCTTCCGCCCCCGACATTGTGTGGGTGGAAGAGGATGGAGGGGGCCTTGCGCATGGGGAGGTTTTGGAAACTCCGCAGCAGGGCTCTCACCACCACTGTAGCAACGGAGAGAGCACAGCGCTCACCCCGCGCTCGACTACATAGCGGCGATCGTCCTAAGCCTAGACAGAAAGGGTGTAGTGGGGATCCAGCTGTTGCAGCCTTGCAGGTAGGTATTTGGTGTCTTGGCATCGAGATCCCGACAGCTTCAAGACTAGATTCCTGGCCTTCTTGATGCCTGTTAACGTAAACGACCAGTAACAGAGATGTAAAATGGCAAGGGAATTTTCACGTTAGAGATAGGTGGCCAAATATTGCCCACATACATCCTTCCCATCCCCTCTCTACTTCTGATCCCAAGCCCTCCCTCCGCCTCCCATCCTAGCCATCTTCTTCGCCTTCATTTCCTCCTTGATCCCTTTCGATTTCTCTCGCGGATCTATTACCACCAGATCATCTTCCTGCTTCTTCTTCCAGCTTAAGTCCTTCCCCATTCGATCCTTTTCAAAGCTCAGCGCGTGCGACATCCACCCATCCCCTAAATCATCGTCCTCCGCGTCGCCGGAATGCTCGTCCCATGATTTGCAGGATTCGCAGTTGGCAATGAAGTGGAGGTCGCAGAGCGCTGCCTCCTCGGCGTTTTCACCGTCGGTATCTCTGCTGTTGGCTAATTTGGTGTCTGTATGCCCGTTGCTAGCGTTTGGAACGTCGTTGACCTCTGCATCAGCGCTTTCGAGCTTCGACCTGAAAGTAATCAGGAGATCCAGCGTCTGCTTCACCCCCTTGTCGCCCTGTTTTCGCTTTTTGCCGCGGACGGCGGTAGCGGGGATCATCTGCTCTAGCGCAGACTTCGGCTTCGCGTCATTCGTGGAAGCAGTCTGTACGTTACGCTTCATCGAGTTCTTCAGCTCTGCAATTTGCGCATTAGTCTTGTCGAGAAGGGTGGTCATCCGTTCCACTGCCTCGGGAGAGGTTGACACGGATCTTGATGGCTCTTCATCTTGAGGGAGCGGTAGCTGAACTTCGGGTTTTGCTTTCTTTGGTGGAGGTGGAGATGGCGAAGCTGATGACCGCCGTCTCTTTTTCTTTTCTGGCTTACGAGTTGTGCTGTTCAAGTGGCCATTTGATGCATCTTCAGCCCTCTCGTCCGCCTTCGATGTAGTCGTAGCTCCCTTGGCACCATCTTCTACATCAATCAGTCTCGGGTTCCCTTTCTCTTTCCTCACCATAACCTCTACCCCTCCCTCTTCGTCCCCAAAGCTCAGAAGTTGCTTTCCGCCCTTCTTCTTCGCCTTCTTTTTCTCGCCTTCTTTCCTCTCCTCCTTCGCGACCTCCACCCTTTTCACATCCCTCCGCACCATATCCTCAAATGGATTCACCAGTATCTCAGCCCCTGTGACCCTAGTCGGATACATAGGCCTCTCCAACCCCTCCTGCACCTCTGCCTCTGCCATCTTCAGTAAATTGAAAATAGTGTCCCCTACCAGTCTTCCGAACATCGTGTTTCGGCCTTCTAATTGCCTACATTCGTCTCCCAGACTCAGAAAGAAGTGGCTTCCATTTGTGTTTGGCCGCCCTTCGTTTGCCATACCCAGCAGTCCTCTCCTGTTCCATTTCAAGCGCGAGTGAAATTCATCTTCGAACCCTTTGCCCTTCTCGTAGATGCTTTCCCCACCTTCCCCTGTACCGGTAGGATCACCACCCTGAAGTATGAAGTTGGGTAAGAGTCGGTGGAAAATTGTGTCGTCGTAGTAACCATTGAGGCAATGTTGAAGGAAGTTTCGGGACGCGAGGGGGCATTGTTTCGCGAATAATTCGAGGAGGAGATCACCTGAGGTGGTGAGGAGGAGGACCTTGGCCGTTGGTGGCGGCTCAATGTTGTAGGTACTTGCCATGACGTGCGATAGATACCATAAAAGAGGGTGGAGAGGATGATAAAAGCTGGAGGAGTTGTGCAATGCCAAGAAAGCACAATTGTGCAGTATACTAGCGCCACCCTCTAGGGGCCATCATAGAAGGGTACGCCCCGGAGCGTACCCTATTCTATTCGAAGTAAGCCTTATCTCCGGCGCTGAGAATCAATAGCCATATATTTGCAGTGTTCTGTTCATGTCTTCGATGGCGAACAGTGTGAGATTAGAGAGACAACTTCAAGCAACCCGTTTCTTTGCTTAAAACTTCTCCTTCTACATTGGGCATATACGCGCAAAATTGAGACGGGGCGCCTAGGCAGTGAGGACTGTTACATGACCTGTTGGAGAATGGAAGACCATAATTCTCCAGACAGGTGGCAAAAGGCAAAGGAATCTCTGCACCTCGACAAAAATCGAAGGACGAGAATATTCTATGGGCGTTGTAGGTGACCTAGTCACAATTCAGTGGTGTCGTCCAGAAGCGATTATGACCTAAAAATTTGGGGGCTCTGGGAGCCTTAGCTACTGCATGATCTCAAGCTTTGGGTTTGAGAGGCGACCAGGAAGTCGCATTGTACGCCAAATCACTCAGAAGGAGGATTATCTAAAGGTCGTGCAAAATATCCCCCGCAAAGTCTTCGGCCTTTCGTAAGGATCATTGTTTTCAGTCGGTACTTCAGGAGCAGATCTACCAGGAAGCTTACCAGTCTGGGCAGAGATCATCGAATGCTGTTGTGGGGAGGCTCGGTGTGGCTGTTTCTCTGCAAGAACATTTGTAGATGGTGACCACCATCATGCAGACCCCGCTTCACTACTCAAGGTCTAGAGGAACACATTTGCCGCTTTATTGACTATCCACCACTTTCGGTATGCCTTTCTACCTTGGTATATTCAAAGCACGGCGGAAATGCTATGTTCGACCCTACATTCCTACGCTGATTGACTCACAGCGTCACAAATTACCTATCGCAGAAGCATGGACTCGAAATTCTCAGAAACAAGTGCCTCGAGGTTCCTCCCTTGGATTTTTGTAGCCTTTGTCGCCGCGTATATTTTGAACACCCTCTATCAAGCCTACGCAACACCACTACGAGACATACCAGGACCATGGCTTGCGAAATTAACTCGTTTCTGGCTCTTCAACGCCAACATCCAGCGTAATTTCCATTCGACGAATGTGAATCTGCACCGAACCTATGGGCCGATAGTCAGAATAGCGCCAAATGAGTACAGCGTAGATGATCCAGAAGCAGCACAGGTTCTTTACAGGTCGAGGGACACGCCTCCTAAGATGAGTTTCTACATCTGAATGTCTGGGCAACCTGCTGAATTGTTAGAACTCGCCATGGTATTTAGGATTTGCGAACCCCACAGCAGAACAACATGTGTTCACAATACAAGACGTCAAGCACCACGCCGCTAGGCTTCGGCAAGTCAAGAACCTCTTCCAGCTCGGGGCCTTGATGAAGTTCGAGAATCACGTAGATCGCATGATGAATGTATTTCTGAATCAATTGGAGACTTTCGCGAAGCAAGACCAGTCTTTCGACCTCGCTGAATGGTTTAATCTATTCTCATTTGATACGATTGGTGCCATGACGGTGATTGCTTTCCCAGAAGATCGTATCACCGGAGAATATCTGGCTGACACCCCTCAAGTTTGGCAAACCGTTTGGAGTACTCGAAGAAGGCGGCGACATTAACGATATTATTTCTAACATAGCTATGGTATCGCGCTACGGGGCTTCACTTGGAGTGTTTCATGAGTTCTACCCATTGATATATCGTGTCCTGCAACTCTTCGCACCCAAAAAGATCGTAGGGATAGCCTTCGTCGAACAATTCACAACCGAAGTCACCGAAGAATGGAAACAACAGTCAGAGAAGGATCGATTAATCCACGACGAAAACCAAACAGGCGAAGACTCCACCGTGATCGACATTCTTGGCTCCTTACTCGCGAAGCACAGCAAATCGCCAGAGACATTCAGCGTCGCTGACGCTCGATATCACGTCATTCCCAACATTCTCGCCGGCGGACACACTACGGCGATCTCTTTTGCTGCTACTATGCATTGTCTGATGAAAGATCCGAGGGTTTTGAGTAAGCTCCGGGAAGCTTTAGGGGATCTGACGAGAGACCAGGAGAGTGGCCACTACTCTTTGAAGCAGACACAGGACTGCACATATCTGCAGGCTGTCATTAAGGAGTCATTGAGGTTGTTCCCAGCTATTGGAAACCCTCTCGCCCGAATGGCTCCAAAAGGCGGATTGACTATCCTGGGCAGATATTTCCCGGAAGGCGTAAGTGATCCTCATTGATGGTAATTTCGAGAAAGAGGTATTAGTGCTAAAAATTCCAAGACAATCCTAGGCATCAATCCCTGGGTCGCTCACATCAACCCCTCGGTCTTCGGTGCCGACGCGCAGACCTTCCGACCAGAAAGATGGCTAGAGAGCCAGGAGAACGCCGACCATATGGAACAATACATGTTGACTGTGAGTAGTCCCTCCACCCCCCCACATCCCTTGCCCCCTTCCCCTCCCCAACCACTCCTTACCCATCCACCTTCCTAACCCACAACCAACCACCTCACCACCCCAAAAAGCCTACACCCGCTAACCCATCCCACCTCACCTCTAGTTCGGCAAAGGACCCCGCTCCTGCCTCGGCAGACACATCTCGCTGATGGAACTGTACAAGCTAGTAGCAGAAATGGTGATGCGGTTCGATTTCTCATTTGCAGATCCCGGACGCGATTGGACCGTGCATAGCGATTGGTTCGTTATACAGTCGGATTTCCAAGTTAAGGTGAGGGCGAGGAAGAGTGAATGAATGAATGTCGCGCTTGATGTTATGAGTTATGGATTTGAATGGAGTAGTCTGTTCGTGTTATGTGGTGCCGTGAGTGATGTCGGTCGAAGGGTTTGCAATTTATGGATTTGTAAATGTTGGGCGTGCAAAGATGAGCACCACCTTATCATTCGTTCTCCTGATCTACTCGAGGTCTGCATTCCTTGAATCATCAACGAGCTTAGATACATATACCTACTTACCACGTATAACAAGGCTATGCCTACCTGCTCCATCCATCCATTTTAACCGAGTCCCCCAGATGCGATGCCCGGCGCTCGGCGTTAGCGGAGCTAAATGAGGAAATGAGAGAGCGACTAAAGGTGCTCTGAGTGGTGGGAGTCAACGCTGTACATATTTCTGGCTGTATGCTAAGACAAAGATGGAAATCAAGGGCAGAATCCATATCGACGTTCGGCTATGAATTTTGCGATACAACACGCTAAATGGAACAAGCAAGAAGTGAAAGACGCAATCGAAGAAAGAGCAAGCACATGATTATGATATTGCATTCTTGTTGATGACTATCTAATTGTTTCGATCATTTGACGTGATTGCATAAACACGCCTCTATGCTCCATGAACCTGTAACGCTGTATCCGGCGCGGTAGCCTCTCTTTTGGTTCATGGTTCATAGATGTATCCTCATCATCTTGCGCACATATTGATGTAAAGCCATTCGTAGGCGAGTGCTAATCGGAAAAGTGGTTGCGAAGAAGGAAGCATTAGTGATTTAGTCAACTTCTTCAACAGTTGGGCCATCGTCGTGAGTAGCGCCACCAGGGGCACCACCGGGCATTCCACCGCCCATGCCACCGGGCATGCCACCCATTCCACCAGGCATACCAGGCATACCACCGGGCATACCGCCCTCACCACCTGCACCGCCGTACATCTTGACCATGATGGGGTTTGCCACACCCTCGAGAGTCTTCTGTTGTCCTTCGTATTCGTCAACGGTGGCAGTCTGGTTGTTATCAAGCCACTCGACAGTCTTGTCGATCTCAGACTTAAGAGTCTCCTTCTCCTCGGCTGACAGCTTCTCGTCAACCTTGGAATCGTTGATAGTGTTGCGTAGTGAGTAGGCGTATGACTCGAGACCGTTCTTGGCTGAGATACGCTTAGACTCTGCCTCATCTTCTTCCTTGTACTTCTCAGCCTCAGACAACATGCGCTCGATGTCCTCTTTTGAAAGGCGGCCCTTGTCGTTAGTGATAACGATCTTGTTGGTCTTGCCAGTGCCCTTCTCGAGAGCGGAGACGTTCATGATGCCATTGGCATCAAGATCGAAGGTGACCTCAATTTGTGGGACACCTCGAGGCGCAGGTGGGATGCCAGACAGCTCGAATTTGCCGAGCAGGTTGTTGTCCTTCGTACGAGCACGCTCGCCCTCAAAGACTTGAATGAGCACACCAGGTTGGTTGTCGGAGAATGTGGAGAAGACTTCTGACTTCTTAGTAGGGATTGTTGTGTTGCGCTTGATGAGAGCAGTCATGACACCGCCGGCAGTCTCAATACCGAGGGAAAGTGGCGAAACATCGAGGAGGAGGATCTCGTTAGTGGACTTGGATGATTGATCACCAGAGAGAATAGCAGCTTGTACGGCAGCACCGTAGGCGACGGCTTCGTCGGGATTGATTGATTTGTTGGGCTCCTTGCCATTAAAGAAGTCGGAGACGAGTTTTTGGATCTTGGGGATACGTGTGGAGCCACCGACCAATACAATCTCGTGTACGGAGGATTTGTCGACCTTGGCATCACGGAGAACACGCTCGACAGGGTCCATCGTAGATCGGAAGAGATCCTGGCAAAGCTCTTCGAAGCGAGCACGTGTGATGGATGTGTAGAAGTCAACACCTTCGTAGAGAGAGTCGATTTCGATAGAAGTTTGTGCGGATGAAGAGAGGGTACGCTTAGCACGTTCGCAAGCAGTTCGGAGACGTCGGAGAGCACGGTTGTTGGATGAGAGGTCTTTCTTGTGCTTGCGCTTGAATTCGTTGACGAAGTGGTTGACTAAGCGGTTGTCAAAGTCCTCCCCACCCAAATGTGTATCTCCTGCCGTGCTCTTGACCTCGAATATACCCTCTTCAATGGTGAGAAGCGAGACATCGAATGTACCACCTCCGAGATCGAAGATCAACACATTGCGTTCTCCCTCGGTCTTCTTGTCTAGGCCGTAGGCAATTGCAGCCGCTGTTGGTTCGTTGATGATACGAAGGACGTTCAATCCGGCGATCAAGCCGGCGTCTTTGGTAGCTTGGCGTTGCGAGTCATTGAAGTATGCTGGGACTGTGACGACAGCGTTGTTGACTGTACCACCAAGGTAGCTCTCAGCGGTTTCTCGCATCTTCGTCAGAATCATCGACGAGATCTCTTCTGGTGTGAAACTCTTCTCCTCGCCCTTGAATTCGACCTGGACGACGGGCTTTCCACCCTTGTCAATGATCTTAAATGGAAAATGCTTCATATCGGCCTGGACCTCTTGATCTGCGAATTTTCGTCCGATGAGGCGTTTGGCGTCGAAAACAGTGTTTGTAGGATTCATGGCGACTTGATTCTTTGCTGAGTCGCCTATCAGACGCTCGGTGTCTGTAAATGCGACGAATGATGGGGTTGTTCGGTTGCCTTGGTCATTGGCAATAATTTCCTTTGGAATGTTAGCATCCTGTCAAGATTTGGCGGAGGAGGTTCGAGTCACTCACAATTCGATCATCGCGAAAGATTCCAACGCACGAATAGGTCGTGCCCAAATCGATCCTACAAGCAATCAGTAATAGTTCAAAGGAGACTGGACCATTTTCACTCACCCGACTGCCTTGCTCATGATTGCGGTTGATTCGAGGCTTGCCGCTGCTCTGTATTAGATGGGATGAGAGTGACGTGCGACAAGTGTGCACAATTGATGGCAGAGAGAAAAGGGAGATAGAAGTTTGTGTGAGTTTGTTGAGTTACGAAAGAGGGAAGGAAGAGGAAGGGCGATCGACTTTTGAGTGTAAAAAATGTGGAGGAACAGAAGCTTCTCGAAAGCACCACAAGGCTCTGGTGGCCTTGGCGCCAAGACTGGTTGGGCGGCGACCAATAAGAAGAGAACTGACTGACGACACGCACTAGTCAAGCGAGCCATTAGACCAGCCTGCCGCATTCGATATTTGATGGTTTTGATTGAGTGTGTCAATCTTGACAAAGTGTGAAATCGTGCATCTCGGCACCCTGTTGCTCGTGATCTCCAGGGGATAGGTCTCATCTCCAAGTCGCGACAGCCATTGTACCATATGTCCCACGGCAGGATGCATTATCTTGGCGAGCGCAAAAGAAATCCCATTGGTTATACTTTATGGCATGACGCATGAAGACTTCTTCGCCATAGTGAGGAGATTGATCATTATGCTTGGGGGAGATTTAATGTAGCCTCATGAGGAAGTCTTGCGAAGACAGGGTGGTTCGAAATCAGATGATTCAATGCTGGACGAGCCTTTCTGGTCTCGCAGATACCGAAGTCTGGCCACCGCCATCTAAGGCGTATGTCGTGGTGATAATAACGTTGCCATCTCCAAACTTATTACGTGAGGTGAGGAAGTCAGTCCTCCAAGACACGAGACTGATCCAGCAGACGGTGGGATTTCCGGTGGAAGCTCGAAGAGCATGACTTTTGCGACGAAGTCTTCAAGAATAGGTAGGCATTTGATGAGCGGCTTTTTTTCTGAGAAGAATCAAGTGCGTTCTCTGTGACCCTCGTTCATGTGCACGAAAGATAGAGCCTTGAAATGATAGGGATGGATAGACGACTGGTCCGGCGAATGTCGTACGCCGTCAAGATCAGACTCTTCATGTCACATTTTTAATATCGAGATTGATGTCGAAGACATTTACTGACGTTAAAGCTGCCGACGAGGGCTTGTTACTAGGAAATCGTTTGGGGGGTTCGACGTGGCAGTGTTATACGAAAGTGCTTACTGCGCACGTAATCTCGCCGAACAAGGGTACCATATCACACAAGCAGATACAGTGAGAGAGTGAAAGGGGTGTACTTACGTGGAAGAATCGGAGGTAGTGATTGTGTTGATGAAAGCAGAGATGAAAACGGGCAGAATAACATTTTGAAACTCGGCAAGACAAACAGTAGCCAATGACACTTCCATTGCAATCTACTTTGTTACAAATAACAAACGAATGTACCTCATGTACCAATTATCATCCATCGATCGCAGTTTCAATTACAGGTCAGAATCATTGGCAGGAGCAATGATATGGGCTGCGACTCATAATGTGGAGGATGCCAGAGACAATCGATAGCTGGTACTGAAATTATCAATAACACCTCTCTTGCAACTGATTGACGTATACTGACAAGAGAAGGAGATGCAGGCTTTTAGAATAAGGCAGACTGCGGTTCGCCAAAGGGGGTTCGCCAAAGGGGGTTCGCCAAAGGGGGTTCGCCAAAGGGGTGACAAACCATCTTCACAACTGCTAGCCTTCGATACGACCAGCGACAAACATTACGATGGCTCGTTCCGATAGGCGTAATTACTCAAAGAGAAAAAGCCTGGCTAGGCGTCAGGGGAGAAAGAATCCTCAGAGGCGGCTGCGTGGTGACGCAGGTACGCTTGAGGCCATTGCTTACGAATTAATACATATTCCGAAGCAAGCAGAATGTAAGGCTCGTAGAAGAGGGCAGTTTCGAAATAGTCATTTGGTCGATGAGCCACATTCATCGACGCTAAGTCCTCGATACGAACGTCAATGAAGACTATGATGGTCGTTTCCGACAGGTGCAATTGCTGGAGAAGAGAACTTGACAACCAAACCTCTCATAGCAGACGGCGTCATCGGGATTATTCCTACTACTCCGAGTGAAGAGTCTTGGAGAAACTGTCATGCTACCCAGCCCAACTAACACTATGCGCCCTGAGATGCTATCAGTCACTTAAATCAACCCGTCCTAAAGAGCTGACCAGATACCACCAGATTTCCACCCTCTGCAGCCTAAGCTGGAGCCGTCACTCAACGACATCTCCTTCAGAGAATCAGGTACGAAACGCCCTGGCAGATCGACAGTCTATCTATCAAATTGAACGAAGGCTAGTAACTGGGCCACAGATATCTAACCGTTGAACATCGCTGCGATCATCATCGCGTCTGAACGCCGAAGAAGTACGGAATGTCAAAGAAAGGAGCATCAAGAAAAAAGCACCAGAACTCTCTCACCTCAAGAGCGATGTCAGTCAGCAAGGCCATACAAATCGGATGAAGTGCCCAACCTGCCCGCGCCTTCAATGATCTGGCAATGTTGTCGCTATTACTCTCTCTCCCCTTGCTCGCCTCCTCCACCTGGACCTTACTTGGGCATGCCCTTAGTAGTCAGGCTCTCACCCCGCCTCCCCGCCTCCTCGCCCCCCCCTGTCCCATCTCATCAATCGCGCGTTCACTCAGTCCCCACGGTCTTACGGGCTTGAAGCGGCAGTAATAACCCTCGTCCACCTCTAGCCTTCTTCTCGCACACACAAACTCTCTCTCTCCGTCTCCAACCCGGTTTGAAACATACATCATGACTTGACACAGCAGCAAAGGGGCTCTGGCGATGACAACGCACCTTTACCTTCCTATTGCAATTCTTCTTCTCCTTCTCCGCCATGGTGGCGGCGGCGGTACGGGCTCTTACTTCCTCTTCTGGGCAAAAGCAGGAGATACTCATGTAAGACTGGGGCCTGAAAAGTTACTATATCTACAAGCAGCGACAGCATACTCGCACTCTCAGCACACCTTGATAATAGTAATGACAAAGTAACACACCCCCATACTATTCCGAACACTATAAAGCTGCTATGCGAGCATTTGATTTTGCGCGTAACTAATCCACAGTCCGAATCGAAGATATCTATGCCCATGCCCATGCCCATGCCATCCCATCTCTCCATCCTCATCATGCACACCCATCCCCCCTGTTCATCATCTCTTGCCCAACAATACCTCGATCTCCTATAATCCGGGGGTATATCAACATCGACCCATATCAAAACCTCCATCCTTCATCCTTCCCCCCGCCCCAGCCCCAGCATCCCCTTTCGCCCCAACAGACGTCTCACCCTCCCCTTCCTCTCCCTCCCGTCCCTCTTTTCCCTCCCTCCCCTCTTCCACCATCCCACCCCCTGCCCCTCCACCTTCACCGCCCACAACGCGTCCAAAAACCTTAACAACGCCATCCCCGCCTCCACTAACGACCCACCGTCCATCCAAGCTCCAAACAACGGCACAAACGCCCTCACCGCGCATGAGACGATGGGTATTGACTTCCTGTGTGCAGGAGCGTTTCTCGAGACTCCAGAAGCGGATGGCGGCGTCGTGGCCGGCGGAGACGAGTTCGGTTGCGGAGGGGTTGAGGAAGAGGGAGGCGATTGGGGAGGGGTGCGCTAGCATTGTGTAGGTGCATTGGCCTGTGGTAGAGTAGGGTGTTAGCGGATGAGAAGGGAGAGGTGGGGGGGCGGAATCTAAAGGAAGGGAGAAAGATAGGGTGGGAAAGGGGGAGAGGGGGAAAGGGGAGGTGGGGACGACATACCGCTGTTAGCGTCAAAGAAGCTGATGTATCGGTCTTCATGACCACTGATGATTGTGCCCTCAGCGCCATTGCTACTGCTCCCTGTCGGACCAGGCGGCACGCTCTTGTCCTCGGACCTTTCGTGCGAGTCCATGCCCATTGTAGTCGTGGCAGCGATAGCGTTGACGCCCGATGCAGAAGTACCAGTATATGACTCCTGGCTTGCCATCCCAACGATCTCTTCTCCTGTTCTGGTGTCGTAGACAAGGACGGCAGCATCAGTGAATGAGGCGACGAAGGTTTCGCCAGTTGGTGAGAGGGGACATATACAGGTCGGAGCAGGGTTGTCGATTCGGGGTTCTATTCTGTGGACGAGAGAGTAGTGAAAGGGTTTTGATGCGGTGGAGGCGTTAGGTTGAGGTGATGAAGGGAAGTTGGATCCAGAAGAGACTGAGTTTGCTCGACGACTTCCGCCTGTGCCTCTTCGTGATCCAGTATGAGGTGAGGCGACGGTAGGTGGTGAACTGACGGCCCAGACGAGAATCGTGCCATCTGCAGCACCAGATGCTATGATAGTCCTGTCCATGCCGCCGTGATGGGCTGCTTGATCGCTACCTAGTATGGAGCCAGATGTGCCTGGTAATACACACATAGTCCAGACTGCGTCCGTATGACCATCGAGAGTGGCTTTTGGATCTACTCTCCCTCGTTCCCAAACACGGACTGTAGCATCTTGACCACCAGAGAAGACCCAGCCGTCGCCTTGGGCACGACCGCCATTCGAGAAGGGTTGATAGACTGGCGATGCAGCAAGACAGAGCACCGCACCAGTATGACCTCGGTGCGTTTGATCGCATTTGAGGTCTAGATCATCTCCTTTAGGCGTAGTACTTCCTGCTATCCATCTCTTGACAACACCATCATCTCCTGCTGTACATAATTCAGGTGCAGAAGGGCTGCCACCTCCTGTAAAGATGATAGAGCGGACGACATCAAGATGTCCTCGCAGGGCGAATCGTACTTTGAACTGGCCAGGATCGCCTCTCAAGCTTCCTGTGTGCGAGGTTGAGATCTCCCTGAGCTCATGAGACCCATCACTCTGCCTCCTTCGCGTCAAGGACGTCTTTCTTCGATGCGAATCTGGGCCTCGCCCTGGTGACTTCATGGCTATGTTCGTAGCGTTCGGGAAAGCATCTGTGTCAGGTCGAAGGGATTGGGGGTGAGGAGAAGGTTCTTGTTCATTCAAGAGTCGTTCTGAAGCGTCATCGAAGTTCCAACCATCGGTCTCTGCTATATGTGGCTCACTATGGATACGAGTAGATTCCTCATCTCGAGATTGCCGTCCATAGTTATTGTAGGCCTTCTCTCCCTCATCTGCTTGTGCATCACCACTAGACTTCATTTGGCTTGGTCTCTCTATCACAAACGATCCCCTTTCCTGCTGTGGTCGGTTAGGTGGATTCCTGGACATAAATGGTGGTTCCTCGGGAGCTTGTTGTGAGCCCCTTGATAGATGTGAGCTCCGTGATAAAGGTGGTACGTCATTGACTTTGGGTACAGGTGGAGGTTGGTGATTTGGTAAAGGTGAAGGGCCGAGAGATCCGACATTGCTGTGTTGCTTTTGTCGTTGCTGCGCATACACGTCTTCAAGCGAAACATCATGACTTTGTTGGTGATTCGGGAATTGATTGTTCTGCAGTAATTGCTCCTCCTCGACATATTGTTGATGTGAACCTGTAGTGGAAAAAACATGATAGGCGAATTCCTCGATACATTTCCCCATGTAGACCCTAGATCTTTCTCGTTCCGCTTCATGCTTCAAGCCTTGTGATGCAAGATCTTCACCCTCTGGGCTAAGGAGGCGGACTGGTGACTTGGAGTTGTGTGCTTGGATGAATGTCAGCAGAGCTCTCGAACGAATCTTGGTACTCACATTTACGACTTGGGCTTGACTTTGCGCTGCCCTTTGCCTCTAAGCCATCGGTCCTGCCATTCTCCTGCTCCTGTGGTTTCGCAGTCTTTTCTCGACTTTTCTTCAGCGCATTCTCAAGCATCCGAATATGCTTGTCCATGGACTCGCGAAGCTTTTTATTGGTTCTGAGGTCCCCTTCAAGCTTCCCTATTCGTGCTTTCATTTCCGCCCTTTCTATTTCCCAAGCATTCCGTTCCCGTTCATGCTTGTGCCATTCTATCTGCAGAAATCTCATCACACCTGAAGACATCGTCGCTGTCAGTAATTACTCGATAGGGAGATGTCCCGTCTGTGAGGGCTCTGTTTGCGCCTCGTCCCAGAGTGAAGTGTTGGCGACCCACCTTGTAGTGTATATTCCGTTCCTTGCGGCTGACCGCCATTTCCAACCGCATCGCTGCTGCCGGCCGCGCTACCTCCACTTCCGGGGCCCATACCAATGGAGTTTTGCCATGCCATGGATCAACTGCCCCAGCTGCTCCCCGCGGTCACCGTGTCAAGCACGAAATACTACGCATCAACATTCACACCAGCACGAGAGGAAAGATCTGTTCTATTGGCTAGACGTTTCAGTCGCTCAAGGTCGCGCTGAAGGGGGGGAAAGGGTCATGTGACGGCGTGGAAGGGGAGGGTTGTTGGTGTCAGATTGAGCTTTGAGGGCAGCACTTCGGGAGGGATTCGAGGATTGCGGCCAAGACAAGTGTCACAACATGAGCTCGAGATCGATGAGCATACGTGACGGTGTCAAACGGGTAGAGACAGATGCTTCACGCAGCATCAGTCGTTTTCCCTGCCAAAATTAGGGTGATTTTAGCACAGTCCTGTCCGAATGGTGTGATCTTGATGTCCTCTCAGTATCAATTTATGTCAGTGAGAGCGTATTTATGTAGCGATCATCTCGATAGAATATAATCAATCATTATGTCCACATCCTTTTTCCTATTCCTAGCACGTAACACTTGGTAGCGACCTGTCAATATCCTGGCTATCCCATTCAATGAAGTTCATCTTCTCAGCAGAGAGCCTTTGGAAGTATTTCAAGGCTATAGCGGCTGTTGACGGAGCTGGTAACGCTCAGAGACCTCTCTCACATTCCGCCCATCCATATCCTCATCCCTCAAAACTCCAACTCTTCAACCTCCATCCCACACTCTATACAAGTCTTCACGCCCACACCCTCATCACCATCCACCGGCCGTCCCCAAACATGTTCATGCTTTCCCCCACCCCCGACCACCTCCCCAAACCCTTTCCCCTTTCCCCCTTCCCCTTTAAGCCCCCTCCTCCACGCTTCCGTCCTCGTCTTCTTCTTCAACTCCCTCAACCGCTCCCTAAAAACCTTCTCCTTCCTCCTCTTCTTCTCCCCCTCCCGTTTCGCAAACTCCTCATCCAACCTCTCCCCACTACCCCACTTCTTCTCACTAAATGCATAATCCTCGACCTGACACCTCAAGAACAGCATCATAGGATGGAAAGAGTGTTTATGCGGATTCGGGCGCTCGAGCCAGGGGAGTAGCTCCTCATCTTTCAGCTCCGGGTCAGTGAGGAGGTAGTCTTCGCGCGCTTCGGTTTTTGTGAGGAGGGAATATTTGTCGGGATACTTTTCTTTGCAGGCATTGCAGACGGGGAGGCGGAAGACGTCGAGCCATTTCCAGTCGATCTCCATGGTGGAGCATTCTCTGCATTTTTGGGATTCGTCGCCGGCTTTGAGGACTGACAGTCCGGGCTCGAAGGGGCCGGTTTTCTGATCTCGTAGTTTGCGGAGGAGTTGGTGGCGCTCCCACTCTTTCATGGTCATGTGTGCAGGTTTTTCGTCCATGGAAGGTGTGTGCAGGGCTTTATTGTGAGGGTCGTCTTCAGCGGTCATGAATCCGCCTTTAGTGTCTGTCATCTTGGAGAAATCGTATTCAATGTAGTTCTTTGCCAGGGTACGGGAGGGTTGAATGTCGTCGAGAGGACGGTTGGGTTTGCCTGGGGCGCCATCTTTGGTGACAGGCGTCGCGTTACGGGCATCACGGACTGTAGAAGGGAGATTCGAAGGAGTGATTGCAGAATAGGGGCGCTTCTGTCCTGCTGCGATGTTGCTGCTGCCAGAGCGTTTGAGTGAAGGTGGACCATTCTGTCTTGAGGCTTCGGACTGTTCGCGAAGGGCTTTGGCTTTGAGGCGATTGATTTCCTAGGGAGATGTTAGAGCTTGAGTCAAGCAAATGGGCTTGGCCAGACAATACGATTTGCTTAACTTGCTCTGGTGTCAGTGGTGATCTGGGCAGAACGCCGGGCTTTTTGACAGCGGCGGGCGGCGTTGAAGGTCGTCCTGACATATTCACGGCATGCACCATTCAGGTGAATATGGATAGGGAACAGCTGGGTGAATGATGAACGGAGGGAGCACTCACGTTCAGATTATACGTGTTGTAAATGATTTAGTATGAATCACAAATGCTGCAAGTCCACAGATACACTTTACGTCATCCGCACGTGAATAACGCGACAAAGGCGCTCGAAGAAATCTGCATGAATCCAGCGAATAAGATCTATCTACACTTGAAATCTAGTAGACAAGCTCTTCTGTGCACAACATCCCCTTGAAAACTCCATCGCCTTGAAATTACTCCTCTTTCACACCTCCGCTCCCAGCCCGTTCAGCCTGCTCAATGCTTTTCTTATCGCTCTTCACATCCGGCGCACCACCCATCGCAGCCGCCAATCCTCCACCAGACTTCCATGGCCTCTTCAAGTCACCGATAGCTGGAGAGCCAAAAAGATGGATCTTTGCCAGATTTCCTTCAAATGCGCCCTTCAAGGGAATAATTGATTGGATGAGGAGAGGGTTGGTGAATTTGAAGTAGAGATGCATGACACCCATCATGCCGACACCCATGAGCTGCGATTTGAAAGCTGATCGCAGCTGTTGTAGATCGTAGGAGTGCACCGTCGTAGTGACAAGCTTAGGCTCTTCCGAGGAGCCCATGGGAGGTGGTTCGACGTATTTGATGGTTGTGAGGTCTGCGGATGGTTCTTGTCAGCGGCTGTTCACTAAGGTGGCTTCGCCGAGTGGGCGCATACCTTTCTTTTTATTGATCTTGCTTTGTATGTACAGGTAGATTGAGATAATGACCACGTTGGTGAAAATGTACAGTGCTCGCACGCCCATGAGGACTTGGGGATCGTCGAAAGGTATTTTCTTGGACACTTGCATCATCCCTAGGATGATCACTAGGTTCGTGCTGGGAGCTATTAGCAATGCTGTTCACAGTACGTTGCTATCCTGCAGCCTGAGCGGATTGGCTGGACATTTTGCGCTTTACTTACACCTGAGGACTGAGAGCCGCTGCCATTTTGGAAGTCGAGAAGATGGGAGGTGAGCGATAGATGTGAGGGACTCCTGAGCTAGTTTCTGATCTGTAAGCGACGAGAAGCTGATATCAGGTAGAGCTTGTTATTTGGTCTTCGTTCAGCGCACAGGAAAATTAGCTGTCCAATTCTCCTTCGAAAGGACGCTAGTCTATTTCAAGACTGGTGCAAGCCAAGAGTCTTGGCATGACTTTCCCCCACGATTTGATCAGACACAATTTCGGAGGCCTACAATATGGGGTTGAGACAATGTACGCAGGCCATGAACGGAACTACTCGCTTGACGGAAATTCTCCAATGCGCTTTTGACGCTTGCGATTCCCATGCTCACTAGTCTTACTGCAGTGTAGAAAGTCAATCTGATGTCATTTGCTGATGCTGCCGAAAAAGGAGAGCACACGAGTTGTTTTTACCTATCCGCTCTGCGACACTGACTCATGTGTTGAGGGTGTGAGGTTATTTGCTGATCCTCTGCTTGGTATATGAGAGCCGGGTGATGCCTTGCTGAATTGAACGGCGTCCGCTGTCAACCCGTCCTTGCCAATATGCTATTCGCTGCGCTTGCTGCATTGCTCTTCCTCCCATCTCTTCTCATAGCTCAAGACCTCACTCCTTCCATCAACATCCTCAACACCACATCAGAGTCCTTCTCAAACACCAGCGATGTCGGCGCAGCCCAAGACCGTATCTTAATCTGCAATCCGCCCGGCATCGATAAACCATGGCTCAGCAAGGTCGATTGCACGAATGCTCTGATGACTATGCGCCAGTCAGAAGGCATTATCGATTTCATAGGCAATCCCTACGGATATACCAAAGGCCGCTGCACTGTGGCGATAAGTATAGATCATGGTACCAAAGAGAGATCGTCTTGGCTGGCAGTTCATATGGCTGCCACCCAGTTGATGGTGAGCTGTACGGACAATAATGGTGTATTGTTTGGTGGCGGCATTAAGACGGGCCCGAGTGGCAGGATCAAGATTGAGGTTTATAGATCAGTCCCTAGAGTCACGGGAGACACGGAGTAACGGTGAAGTGCTGAATGTGGTTTATGAGAGATGCCGGACGAAGTATCCAAAACCTTTGCCGGCTCTTGGGTGGGAAAGCTGGGTGCTGAATGTTCGTATAACGATCATGTGAGGCAGGTCTTGTGAATGTAAGCCTTTTCATCCGGCTGTTGCTTCTCAAAATATCAATTTCGAAGGGTGCTTTCGCGTTTCGCCATGGTGTCATTAGACCCCTCTTCCTCGTACACCAAACTCATGGCTTCCATCTGCGAGTCACGCCACCACAGTTGCTGGCCGCTTCAGCTCATTAAATAACTCTCATCTAAAGTCACCGACATCTCAAGAGTGCGAGAAGACCGTTCTCTACGGACTTCCCGAAATAGACGTCTTTTGCACGCTTTTTCCTTCCTTAAACTGCTTTCAGCTCATGAATAAAGCTTTCAAAAGGGTCGAGATTCGTCGTGCAGATTTTTTGTTTTTTTAAACTTCGAAGTTGGCGGTTTTGATGAAGGTTTTTGCAAAGGGCGAGAGAAAGATTGTAGCCAATCAGAGTGAAGCCAGACTGATAAAAATGGTCACCCAGTAAAGTCATCCAGATACCATTATCTATTGTATGCCTGGCAAGAACCAGATCATACCCTGCTATGGTAATTGTGGCGCATTGCAGTGTCCTCACCGAAGATCTAGTTCACTCTATGAGAGTTTTCATTGGAGACCTGTATGGCGGTAAAGGCTTGTGATCGGTCACTAGCGTGCTTTTTGAGGTATCACAGCTAGTTGGTACCGTACTCTCCAGGCTGCCATGACGTGGCCTTGGTGTAGCACAACCTCAATATGAAGTCGTACATATTAGTATCTCTTAGTATTTAAGTTGCAGCTTATCTCCTCAGGTAATTCTTCATACAAGCAATCTACAAACAGTCAGCATATCAAGCAGCAGACAGTGCAAGCAATCGAAATAAGTGAAGGAGGTCCGCTTACTAGGCTTATTCTCAGCAGAGCGGTCTTGATGCTAACTATCTGTATCAGTAATACTCGTCGCCACTGTCAGTAGCAGCGTGTACATTTTTTAGCAACAGTCAGTGTTTAAGATTAGCCTTGACAAAGTAGATATCTCTACAGCATTGCAACGCTTGGAGATGGCATCTCACTAACCTTGCATCCCTAGATCTGCCCCCAGCGAGGCCTCAAGATTGAAAATGCCCCTCGCAAATGATCGTCGAGCCTTCAAATATGTCATCCTATATGGCTATGACGATAACTTCAACCAGGGATTCAGCGAGGATCAGTTCTGGTCGTTCATGCGAGAGCAAAAGCTAGCTGAAGGAGGCTTCTCGGCAGGCACCGCGAGAGCGATGTTTAAAGACTGGTCGGATAATCATACGTATGATGATATCTTTAGGGAGGTTTATGAAATGAGCCCGTCAGAAGTTGAGAGCGCAAAGCCGCCCGAGTACCAGATCTCCCAGGAGTCTAGCTGGAAATAGGCTGTGCTATATGCCTATGCGTTCAAGCTGCCGAGACAAAAGGCTGCCGGGGTCGATGGGAGGCTTCCCAAGCCGCTATTTCTGATGCAAGAGGCTCGATATCTGAGTTCATATCCTGCGGGAGGTAATGCTGGATATTTGAAGGGTTTTAAGCGGGTTTTGCATACTTGTGTTTCTTTGATTATGGCTTAGCACGGAGTTAGTGGTCTTGAAATCGGTACTCTTTGCTGTCGGCAGCATAAATAAAGGGTCTAATAGATACCACTGAAGGCTAATGAAGGGAACACTATCTTTTAGTATGTAATTAGCAGGTGGATTAACATCAATGTGAGGCTGCAGCAGTACTTACGCCTCTCCCGTTGATAGAGAAATGACACTTTGCAAGCGTACTAAGTCTCTTCGTTTCTCAGAACTTCATAAACGTTCAAGTCTGCTGTCAATATAAAGGATTGAGGTTGACAGTCACGGGCTAAAGTTAGCCTTGCAGCGGAGAAGCAGGTACCCATGCTCGTCACTAGTCATTGAGGCAGGCGTCAAGTATGTTCTCGTTCTTGCGGGTGTCCGCCGAACGATAACGCTGCCATCCAACGAAAATGCATGTAAGGCAAGACATCGTCATTATTCTTCTCATTCTCGTTAATAATTGCGAAGTAACTCCTCACATTATTTTTCTTAAGCGTGCAAAGTCTTCTGGATGAGTATCCAGTCAGTGACTTGATATCATGGCATCGTGTGCAGGCTCAACCGTTCCCGAGGACTTGTCAGGCAGAACAGTAAGCATCGATTCGAGGTGCCGTATACTGAATTTACCTCCAGAGTTGAGGCGTATGATCTGGTCAGCCTGTATGGTCGTAGGGTTTGCCATACCGTACGCCACAGGGGTTGAGGCAACACTGGAGCAGCCTTATGTGACTCTATTCCGAGTATCGAAAGCCATTCACGAAGAAGCAAGACCTCTTCTAAAGCTCAATAAGTTCATTTTTCTCGAGACACCAGCTCTTCAGCAGTTCGTCTCAAGCCCACAGCGAGTTTCGCTCCTCCGCAGAGTCCACATCGAGTTATCTGACAAGGATTTCGATAAAGCGTCCTCCAAGATAGTCTGGTGCGAAAGCGAGGAGCAGTTGTTTGACGCCAGGTGTAACGACGAACCCGAAGATGAGAACCACCCGCTGCGTTTACGCCTCCTCCACCACAACGAGAAGAAGATATTAGAAGAGCTGTGGACTAGGAAATTAGTGATTCTTTTGGAGATGACGAAGAATTTAGAGATCGCCGTCGGCTTAGGAAATTGTCTATGCAGGAAGCGTTGCTGTAGCCTACGTACAGTGGCATTATGTGTTATGTGGAGACGTTTTGCTGCTGTGCAGAGAGGACACTCATTGAGCCAAGTGCGCTATGTCAACGACAACACCGAGGAGACAGCCCTTGTTTTAGATGAGGAATTTAATACAGATGTTGGCGTTGAGAGCGCTGATAGACCGTTTGATGTAACAGAGAAAACGCAGGATGGAGGTCCACGGTCACCACCAGATGCTGGTACGATCTTGGCATGGGAGAGCCTTCCTGAATGGCTCGTGGATATTAGAAAAGTGGTATTGGAGGATCACGGGCAATGGTGATTTTGCCGGGAGTGGTGGTGGTGAGGGGCAGCAAGAACGAAAAAAGGACGATGGCACCCAGTATAGCAGCACTTTTTCCACCTAGGAGTCTCACGTACTACAAGATTATATTGCGTCGTTCAACTGGGTGCGCGTTAGCACAAGTCGTCGGGATAGCACTACTTATACTGCTTATGGATCTCGTGTACCACGAGCGACTTTGCGTTGTATGGCTGCAGACGCAATATCACATATATCCATAACTTCAGTTTCTCCTCACCTTCATATCTCACAAGGCATCTGAGTCTTCTCTAAACTTTCCTCCATCGCCTTCAAGAACGCCCGCTCAATTCAACTCCCTCCTCGTGTTCCCACGTATCATAAGGTGTACCATCTGGTCTGCCTACCTATGTGTAGGCATCATAAAATGATCACACCGGCGGGCGGGAGCGGGTAGGATCAAGGAGTATCATGAGTGCGTACTAGGGTATTGCTTGTGCTACCTTCATAAATTTTGAGACCTGAAAGCTCAGGGCCTCAATGGTCTTAGACTCTTCTGTCTTCGGACATGAGATTTTGCAAAATACTTCAAACGGGTTGAAAACTTTGGAAGCTTTGCGGGACTCCGCATGAATGAGTCGATACCAACCGGTTGATAGGAGGATACTCTCACTGATAGACTGCTTATGCTTGATGCAGACGGGCCGATCGAGCTAGTCACCTCCACAACGCCCGTGGCAACATGGAAACATAGGCTTACCTATCCATGACCCACTGGCAATGGATTTGAGGGGAAATGCAGGTCTTTCTTTTGGGTCAAGGAGCCCGACGCTCTAGAACGTCATCAAAATCCCGTGACATCTTTTTTGAGATGATTTATTGGCCGTATTCTTGCAACCGAGGGTGTATGTAAGTACAGAAGAGGCTGTTAAGAGCAATGATGTTCCTCATTGATTGACCGAACTTTAGTGAGAGATCAGTCGACATGGTTGATCCTCTACTGAAGCTTCATAGACCGAGATCTAGAAAGATTGACGTCGAAGATCCATCGTTGAGGGAATCTAGGCTTGCTCGCTTCTCGAGAGCTACGATGCTATCCAACATGGTGGTCAAGTCGCGACGAAGGCATTGTCGATCAGGGATTCATGCTCGTTGGTGGTTGAATTGAATTAGCCTCGAATGACATCAATCTGACGAAGGGGAGTCGAGGATCTGCTATACTGTTAATTATGACGAGGAAAGATCAGATGACCTGCAGAAGAACCTTCTAGACTGAGATCGCCCAAGCTCGGTTCGGCATTCTTCGGTAGATCACTACGGTAAACAGTTGAGTGACTGTGTGCTAAACGTCTTTGCTAGCTCATCATCACTCAATTTGAGTCCTTCGCCTGTCATTGAGTTCACTTGTAGTAGATGGAAAGACCCATGAGGGTCTTGTATTTCGTCATGTCTCCTATCTTGTCTGTGAGTAAGCAGATTTGCCGGCGTGGTATACAATGGGCCAATTCCAGGTCCGGACGAGTGCCTGTCAGCCTCACCAGTGATGTGCCAAAAGTTTCGATCCTTTGAGCTGACGACCTTGGTGACATATGCCAAGCGTCTATCATGGCTAGTCGACTACGAGAAGCCGAAGAAAAGCAGCGACGGAACGTGGCCGTTCTTTCATACACAACCCACTAGTTACCCTGCCCTTGGTCACTCAGCACGTCCATGTGATGCAGCCTGTGTTACAGATGTGTGAGTGGTACGAAACGATAGCAACCCATCTCGAGCTGACCGAATGCTCTTGTCAGACTCTAGAGGGTTGTTGCACCCGGTAGGCGAAGCCCTCTGGAAAATCTGCCGATGCTCTAAGCTAGCCGTGGGCCTAATGGGCCGTAGGCTTTCTATGTTCTTGCAATCAAGTGACCATTATTGTCGCAAGAGTGAGCCAGAAGTAGGTCTGCTGACTAAATGTTGTGACTGCCAGGATGGCATGCGGAAACAATAATATCGCCGATAGGGCGTCCAAACCAAACTGTCCAGCACTAGTCAATATCTCACAAAGGGGCGCTTGCTGGCGCTCAATGGACGCAGGAAGCCTTCGACTATTTTCTATCCGGCTATCTTGTATCTCGGTACTTTCAGCGGCGAGAAGTAAGCTCTAGCGTTTCAGGAAAGTGGGATCAGCCGAAAGCAGTGGTTCGGAGAAATCCTAGAGAAGGCGGTGTGGCGGTGTGGCGGTCTAGGTTCGATTCTAAAAGAACAGATCTCACTTGCTTGAGGTCGAGATGGGCAAGGAAGTCTTCGATCGGCCAGCGCCGAACTTGACCAAGTCAGCCAGGAACACCAACATAAGAATTCGGATATCTCGAAAACTTGGAACTCGCTAGCAGGTTGTATGAGCTATAGGAACTTGACAGCGCGTGATGGAGAACATCGGGATGTCTGGCAGCTGTCACTCACTTGAACTTTGCGGCGGTAATGCACGATGGCGCTGTTGGCACATGTCACGTCTGACGTGACATTTATCGCTGTAGTGTAGAGTCAAAACCGTCTCATCTTGCCTGACAATGCCATGTAGGTGATCTCGTACGAGAAGGTGCCCTTGAGATCATCCGGCGGTTCTCCTCGGTTTATTCCACGAACAGTATTCCGATATGATTACCAACGGCCCCTGCCTCAAAAGATCCTAATTCACAAATCATTTCCTGGTCGTCCACACCCCATGCATGCTGCTTTCGGTGCTAAGACTCTTGATGGAGGGCAGCTTCCCTTTGTCATTGGGCTGACTGCTGATATGCTTGCTCATTAGAGTTCAATAGCTGTCGCCTTGGCACGCGAAGTAGGTTGCATAGGGTCGCAGATTAGCAAGAATTACAGTATCGCCGACTGCAGCGAATTTAGCATCCACAATTCAGCTAGTGAGATCCTTCAGCGCTAGCGAAACAAGTTGTCGACAGTGGATAGTTATCGTACGGTCGCTTTGTATGGATGCCCCTTTGCCGGACGAGATGTTCCGCCCACCAGTCACTTTTGAACCTAGATTGCTCAGGCCATTTTATCGCCTTTCGATGAAAAGGGGAGATATGCCAACCATGAAACTCGTCAATCTTACTCAGGGAAGATTGTCCTGTTGTCACTTTGCCTCGAAGTCCTTTATAGCTTACTCTTCCAGAAACTTGGCTAGGCACGAATTGACTGATCTTCTGGTCCTTGAAACTGTGAGTATAGCCATGCCATTCCAATTGCCCGTCTGACCGTGTTCCAGTCTCCAATTTTGGATCTCTCAATACTCAGAGGACAACCCTCATTGAACGAATATCGATCCTCATCTCGCCATGGTCTCCAGGACAGACGAAGTGCCTCCGAAAGCGTTGGAAGAGCTGTGTATTGTCAAGGTAAAGCCAAAAGATTTCGGCGAATACGACGACGAGAAGCTTGCCCTACTCTTCCGCAAGCAATTCCCAAGCACCTACGGGACCATGACGTCGAATGGCATCAAGAACTTTCGGAACAGTGTGGCGGCCTCTGGTGATTACAAAGAAATCTATACCAAGATGTCCGGTGAAAATGATCGGAAAGTGATCTTGGCGATGAAGAAAGAGATGGACAAATGGGTGAAGTAAAACAGCAAAGCCAGAAGAACGTTTGTCTTACTTGTGATGGCAACGGCAGAGATTCGTCCCTACAATCCACTGTCAGACTTGTGTACCTCATGAATAGGTCATGATACTGTTACATTTTGAATGTCATCGATCTTTCGCTCTCCATTTCGCGTGGCTCGAATCCATGTGCAGTGTTTGTCTGCTTTTGAAAGACTTGCGCAACCTGAACCGCGAATACAGATACCAATTGAATGATCGCTTTGAATTGAGCAAGTGGGCATGTGCGACTTGTTAAAGAAGGGTCACGGATCTTGCAGCAAGAGCAGTACTCAGTTTGCGCACGATCATCAAGAGTCTCGCTAACCTTGCAGCTAGACGCAGCAAGCTAAAGCAGGTAGCCGTTATGCTGGTATGCTGCAAAGTGTTGTTTGCTGTCCTTGTTTACCATCACCGGGTACGTGCATGGTCGGAAGTGGTGAAGACCAACAATGTTTGCCAGGAACAAAGAGGCCCAACCGCCCAGTGAACACCGTCATCCTCTCCAGTCATGTCACAATGGTAGGCATCCTAAAAGACGAATGGTGGTGCTCAGAGCCAGCGATTGACGAATTGACGCCGAGGATGGCAAGATTTGACCATGGACCTTCCAGGTAAGGCGAGAGCTTTGGCCTTTGCCTGGCAAGTGATGACTATTTGACAGCCGTCTTCTGACTTCGCCACTCGACATAAGGCGCATGATCTTGGTCTATTGCTTATTGAGCGAAGACGAGGATGAAATCATCGATCCTTGGCTGGACGTCTTTTTGGTATGCAGGAGTATGAACAGGGAAGCGGCCGGCGTTCTCTTCCCATATCTCTTCATAATTTGGGACGCACGCACGGCCATGAGACTTGCCAATTTATACCTTCCGGATGAACGGAACAAGAATATCTGCCAGAAGATCGTAGTACCTTTGAGGGGGGCGACTTCGATACAGAAGCGTCTCTCTCTGCGAAGGAGCTTGCTGATGAGGCGCTACTGGACGCCAGGCTCAGAGGCGAGCCCGAAGATGAGGAGAACCCCGCATGGTTTCGATATCATCACTTCTTCAGCAAGCACGAGTTGGTGAACCTCTGGACGCAGAAGCTGCTTATGGCATTTGAAAGATTTGCTCCATCCACTGTCGTTGTAGAACTCAAGGATGAGGAATGCACGTGTCCAAATACCTGCTGCAAATTCCGTGCATTGGCTGTTCTTTGCATCTGGAATGTTCTGAAAGCCGCGCCTTGCCGTGGCTACTATTGCGATCTGGTGCAAACAATACGAACTGCGGAGGAAGATGGCGGGATCGAGGTTCCCAGGAGAATCCACATATTCAAATCAACTAACGATGAGACTATCCCATGTCAGACGACGTTTGATGACCCGCCGATGTGGCTCCTGCATACTGCGGAAAAGGAAGTCGAGGATAATGGGGGTTTCTAGCAGTAAACATGTCATCGACACTCCATAGTGACCGATGTCGAGGGCGCCTTTTCGGATTTGATCGGACCAGTATGATTTGAACAACTTCACTCAATAACAAAGCGACGTGATAACGACACATTTTCGGCTTCTTTCGTTGGAGGACACGACCAACGGGGGCGTGAGGACTATTGAGCGTTGCATGCTCTCTCGGTATCGACAGAACAGTATATATTGAATTTGAATTATGTGGTACCATGAACATCGAGATGCCAGCATTTGACTGAATGATTAGTGATCACCCTATTAATCGTTAGGCCAAGTCTGTAGAGCCTAGAATGTCATTATCACCCCAAAAAAATTCCTCGGCCTCGTCCCTTGTCTCCAAAAGCTTTTAGACCCCCTGCTTAGGGGGAACTAGCGCCCTTATAGGGGCCTTCCAGGCTTCCCCCGCAGGGGGTCTATATTGGAAAGTCTAGGAATTCTATATTTTTAATTAGCAATACTAAGGCTATACTACAAGAAGGAAATATTAAAGTATAAAATATTGTTTTTTTAGGGTATAAGAAACTCATATTTTACGTTTACCCTAGAAATTATTAATAAAATTTTATTTAAATTTTAATTAATATTTAAATTTACTATTAATATAGTTTATAGATTTAATTTATAATATATATTATATAAGTTCTTTTTTTATTTCTATCTAAAAACTCAATAATATTTTAATAATATTTTAATAAAACTTTAAATAAATTATATATATTATTATAATAAGGTATTAAGTAAATAGAATTTATTTACTTATTTAAGTATTATATTAATATTTTACTTTTTACTATATTTATATCCTAGATAATTTATTAAGAAGTTTTACTTTTTATTATTTTATTTAAATATTATTAATATTCTTTTATGTTTGCTAATTATATTAATAAAAAGTATATTTAAAGTTATAAGTAAAAGAAATCTATTTTATAAATTCTAAATATTTAATTTAAATATTTTATTTTAGATTTAAGGCGCTTTTAAAAAATATATAACATTTTAATATAAAAATAGCTTTAATAATAAAAACCTTTTTTTAACTTATACTTGTAATAATTACTTTACTTAAATATACTATTAAATAGTAGCTTAATAACTTTAGAAATATTATAATTAAAAATTTTCTTAGATTTTTAAAGTTAAAAATTATAATACTATTATACTTAAACTTATAGATAACTTTTGTAAAACTATTTAAAATAAGCTTAAAAAGGAATTAAAACTATTATTATCTATTATTTTTATTATTACTAAAATATAATAAATTAATATTAAATTATTACTTTAGAAAATAATATAATATATAGAGCGATTAGTATTTATTTACTCTCCTTAACTTTTTAACCTTTTTTTATATAGATTTCTTCTACATTTATATTATAGATTTAAATAATAAAATACTAAATTAAAAGCAATAGTTCTTAAATGTTTTAGCTTAGTAATCTAGCTCTAATTTACTAATATTTAATAATAAATTCTATTTTTAAATAAATAAAACTTTATATTCTAAAAGTTATTTTTTATTACAAGTTTTTACTACTTAACTTTAACGTATTTAATAATAATAAAGTTTACTTTTTAATTTAATTATTAAATAACTATATTATTAATATATAGATAAATAATATTTTTTATAATAAACTTAATAAAACTATTATAAAAACCTATAAACTAGCTATTATAATTAGACTAATAACTATAACTAATATATTCTTATTATAAAAATATTTAAAAGTATAAATTATAGTTAATGTAATTTTATTATTTAAAAGTCCCTACCTTTAATATATTTTTCTCTTATAATATACTACTTATTTTTAATAGAAAAATCTTAGGAAACTAAAAAAGAAAGCAACTATAGAACTTAATAATAATAGTAATAAAAGTAGCAGTAAAAAGAGCAATAAGGAAAGCGAAAATATATAATTAAGTAACAATAACTATTTTATTTTAATTCTTTATTAATATTAATAATCTAATTAATAAATACTAGAAACACTTAAGTATTATATATTAAACTTTAGGTTAAAGTAGTAATTTTATAAAGGATATATTACTTAATTTACTACCCCCTTTAATAATAAAGCTAAGTAGTAGTAATAGAAGAATATCCCTAAGTTTTTTATTAAAAGATATATATAATAAAATAGAAATTAAACTTAATAATAATATAGACTAATTTAATTATAAAGACATTATAAATAATTAAGTTTTTAAAGATAATATAGCTAATAAACTAAAGAAAAAGTTTAAATATTTTATATATAGTCTAATTAAAAGCTAATAGCTTTTTTTCTAGCTATAAAGCTTAAATAAAATCTTTAATAATTAAATATTTTAATAAAAAATTAAAGCTTTAATTCTAAGTATTTTTTAAATAGTAGTACTAATCTTCTAATAAATAATATAAAGTATATTATAAAAATCTATAGACTAAATTAAATTAATATTAAATATTTAATATATAGCTATTCCTATATTTTTTAAAAAATAAAAGATAATTTAGGCTAATAATAAGCTATTTTATAAGCTTAAACAAGGTATAATTAATTTGCTATAGCTTTATATTAGCTAATTATATTTTAAACTATTATTAGTTATACTATTATTTGTTTCTACTATTAGATTATCCTCTTTTAGTAAGAATATCTTAAGTAATAGAATACTATATTAGCAAAAGTTCTAGCAGCAGTTTGCATAAATACTTATAAAAAGTATAAATAGTAGCTTTCGCTTTTAACTAATTATATATATAGGCTTAATGAAAAATTATAGAGTTTCAGTAAAGTAAACTTTTTTTCTTTATTTTAAAACCTTTATAACTCTTTTAATATTATATATATTTTAAAAAATTTAAAAAATTTAAAATCTATATTAAAAATAGTCCTAGTAAGTAATTTATTAAATATATATACCTTATATTAAATAGGGGTTTTTTATAAAGGTTTTATTTTTTTAATTTATAATTTGCGCATAGGCTACGCGTTGTTTGTATATAAAAGCAAATATATACTATTTATGCTTTTAGCTAGCTACCCGCATTTTTTATATAGGATACTGCCTAAAACTTTTTGCTAATATAAGTTAAGTATAAAGTAAATATTAATATATTAATATTAAGATAGTATTAATATATATTTAAAGGAAAAAGAAATATATATCTAATATTACTATACTTTAAATAAATAAACTAGAAAAATAAAAATTAAGGATAAACTTATACTAGTTATTATACTACTAAGTTTATTAAGTAAATAGAATTAGTAGTTTATTGCCTATGTTAATTAAAGTTTTAATATTTATTTATATCTAGTCTTTATATATAAAATGCTTATAAATAAAATATTACTAACTTTTAAAAAAGTTAAATTTATACCTATTAAAGCAACTTTTAAACTATTTAAAAGATAATCTAATCTTAATATTTCTAGCTAGTTAATAAAACTTAATAAGAATTTTAATTTATTTATTACTATTAGTTATAAGTTATTTAATATATAGCTATAGAAAAAGCTAAATATTTAGGTTATAGCTTAAAAGGTAAAAAGGCTAGTAACTAAAACCACTTTTTACTTTAGTTTAATTATATAAAATAAAGCTTATAAATTATAGAAAATTAAAACTAAAGCGCTAACTAAAATTAGAAAACTTTAAGAAATAGCAGCTATTAAGTATTTATTATAAGTATTATTTCTATTAAATACTATACTTTATTATAAATTAAATAATATTTTTATTATATTTTATAATATAAGATTTAAAAATTAAAATAATAAAGATTATCTTATATATAGTATATACTAGTTGAAAATTATATATTTTAATAGTATATATTATAGCTTATTTAACTAAAAAGTAAAGCCTAAAAATCTTATATTTTAAAAGTTCTATTAAGCTTAGAACTCTATATTAACTTTTATCTTTATACTTTGCAGTAAGAGCAGCTTATAGTTTAATAATAAAGTATTTATAAATTTATTAAAATTTTATAAAAAAAATATAAAAATAGTATTTCTTATAAAGTATAAAACTATAGTTAATTCTATAAAGAATTATTAAATAAGTAATATCTATAAAGTATTAATAAAAATATAGTTTAATAAGCTAAAAATAAATATTTTATTTTTAAAAAAAACTAGAACTAAAGTCTTTTAATATTAAATTAAAAATTTTAAAAAATATATAATAATTATTTTATTATATTTATAATATACTTTTTTTAGCTAAATATTAAATCTTTATTAATTATTTATAATATTTTTTAAATAGTTAAATAAAGGAATAAACAATATTAAAAAGTAATTTTAAAAATAACTTTCTTTTATAAAATAAACTAGAAGTTATTTTTAATAATACCCTTAAATTCTATATATTAAATAACTAGTTATAAGTTATAAAAAGCGGAAAAAAGCTAATATTTATATTATAGAATTCTTTATATACTATTTTATTTTATTAAATAAGCTTTAGTTATTAATATTTTATTAATTATAATTATAGTAGTAAAGCTACTTTATTCTCTATTAAAAGTATAATATACTAACTTTATAATAGTACTATAAATAGTAAAAGATCTATAGTATACTATATATTACCGATATTATTACTTAAAATAAAGTAAAGATTATAAAATATTTTTAAAAAAAGATAAATAATAAATATAACCCTCTAACTTACCTATATCTAATTAATAAAAGTCTTGAATATTAATTTTAATTTTACTAAAGCTATTATAGTTATTGCTATAAAGCTATATATTTAATTTAATTTAATTAAGCAACTAATTAAGTGTATCTACTATATTAAATAAATAAAAAAGTATTTTATAAAAGTCTTAATTTTAATAGAAAAGTTAAGTTAAAAGTTTAAAAATTCGCTAGACTAGCTTATAGCGAATATAATAAAAGTTTATAATAAATTTATTATTAATTATTTTAAAATAAATAAGCCTATCCTAGTAAATTAAATAAAAT